GATGCATTTTCAAAACACAAGATACAGAAATAAACTGCATTTTACACCTGCACTTTGAGCTGAAAGTCAATTTGTAAGTAATTGAGGTGAAAGTCAATTTGCAGCCATAATATGGAACCTCATTCCCCCACCAAATTTTTAAGTCAACATTTTGAGATACTAACTTGTAATTTCGAGACACTAATTCAACATTTCGAGATAGTAGAACATACATATAGGACATGTTTCTTCATTTGTAGCATTATGTGGGAATTTCCATCAATCTCCAGAGATCAACACAGCAGGGCAACGTGTGGCGAGCTGGCATTTGCTCCAACATATTTGATTCGGTTTAATAAAATAAAAAAATGGACACAAAAGCATTGAAAAGAGGGACAAAGTACTGTTGTTTAGACTGATTTGCCTCATTGTCAACTTGTGCACAATTAATCTGTGCTTCAGTTTGATCAACTGTAGCCTACTGACAACAACCACAGCTGCAGGTAGCATAGAGAAGCCTATGCACTCTGATCCCCTCTGGCCAGGGGAAACGAAGTGGTAACGTCATGTATTTATAGCCTAAGCTATGTATTTATAGCCTAAAATAGACCTGTATTTGTTATAAGAGAATGTGAATGTGATCGAAGGTGGTTTATATTCAAACTGGGTGGCTAGGCTACCTAGACCTTATCAACACAATAGTGATGACATACTATGTGAGTAACGTTTTAATTACAGATGCAAAAGGCCTACATGATGCAACCCTGCATAAAGAAAACTCAGCCCTGTCAGTTCTATTGTCCAATCACAGTTGTTGTCTATTTTAAAAGAGCATATGACCTGATTAGAAAAAAATCTGGTCCCATCATAGCCTATATAAAACCGTTTTACAGCTGATTTATTACTATGTCATACCCTCCAACTAGTTTTATCTGGTTAGGTTAGCCCAGTGGTTCTCCTCGGGGACCCAAGTCATTTCATAATTTTGTTTTAGCCCTGAACTAGTTCACCTGATTCACCTAATTAAGGGTTAGTTGACAAGTCGAATCAGGTGTGCTAGTTCTGGAATAGATCAAATACATGAACCGGCTGGGGGTCTACAAGGAGAGGTTTGAGAACCACTGGGTTAGCCCATCTTGGACCTGTGATGCTACAACTGAAATCACACAATGTTACAAATGAAGATATACAGTGAGGGAAAAAAGTATTTGATCCCCTGCTGATTTTGTACGTTTGCCCACTGACAAAGACATGATCAGTCTATAATTTTAATGGTAGGTTTATTTGAACAGTGAGAGACAGAATAACAACAAAAAAATCCAGAAAAACGCATGTCAAAAATGTTATAAATTGATTTGCATTTTAATGAGGGAAATAAGTATTTGACCCATCTGCAAAACATGACTTAGTACTTAGTGGCAAAACCCTTGTTGGCAATCACAGAGGTCAGACGTTTCTTGTAGTTGGCCACCAGGTTTGCACACATCTCAGGAGGGTTTTGTCCCACTCCTCTTTGCAGATCTTCTCCAAGTCATTAAGGTTTCGAGGCTGACGTTTGGCAACTCGAACCTTCAGCTCCCTCCACAGATTTTCTATGGGATTAAGGTCTGGAGACTGGCTAGGTCACTCCGGGAACTTAATGTGCTTCTTCTTGAGCCACTCCTTTGTTGCCTTGGCTGTGTGTTTTGGGTCATTGTCATGCTGGAATACCCATCCAAGACCCATTTTCAATGCCCTGGCTGAGGGAAGGAGGTTCTCACCCAAGATTTGACGGTACATGGCCCCGTCCATCGTCCCTTTGATTCGGTGAAGTTTTGCCTTTAGCAGAAAAACACCCCCAAAGCATAATGTTTCCACCTCCATGTTTGACGGTGGGGATGGTGTTCTTGGGGTGATAGGTAGCATTCCTCCTCCTCCAAACACGGCGAGTTGAGTTGATGCCAATGAGCTCGATTTTGGTCTCATCTGACCACAACACTTTCACCCAGTTCTCCTCTGAATCATTCAGATGTTCATTGGCAAACTTCAGACGGGCCTGTATATGTGCTTTCTTGAGCAGGGGGACCTTGCGGGCACTGCAGGATTTCAGTCCTTCACAGCGTAGTGTGTTACCAATTGTTTTCTTGGTGACTATGGTCCCAGCTGCCTTGAGATCATTGACAAGATCCTCCCGTGTAGTTCTGGGCTGTTCTCATGATCATTGCAACTCCACGAGGTGAGATCTTGCATGGAGCCCCAGTATGAGGGAGATTGACAGATATTTTGTGTTTCTTCCATTTGCGAATAATCGCACCAACTGTTGTCACCTTCTCACCAAGCTGCTTGGCGATGGTCTTGTAGCCCATTACAGCCTTGTGTAGGTCTACAATCTTGTCCCTGGCATCCTTGGAGAGCTCTTTGGTCTTGGCCATGGTGGAGAGTTTGGAATCTGATTGATTGATTGCTTCTGTGGACAGGTGTCTTTTATACAGGTAACAAACTGAGATTAGGGGCACTCCCTTTAAGAGTGTGCTCCTAATCTCAGCTCGTTATCTGTATAAAAGACACCTGGGAACCAGAAATCTTTCTGATTGAGAGGGGGTCAAATACTTATTTCCCTCATTAAAATGCATATCAATTTATAACATTTGACATGCGTTTTTCTGGATTTTTTTGTTGTTATTCTGTCTCTCACTGTTCAAATAAACCTACCATTAAAATTATAGACTGATCATTTCTTTGTCAGTGGGAAAACGTACAAAATCAGCAGGGGATCAAATACTTTTTTCCCTCACTGTATCCTATAAGTATGCTCTACTATCTCAAGGAGGATGAGGATTATACATCTATAGTCGTAGCGACATCGATTTTAACAAGAAACAGTTATATTTGTTTCCCAACTGCTATGACTGGTGGTGCAGTCTGCTAAAACAATTGGCTCTTAGTTCAATGGTTGTGAGTTCTAATCCCACATGGGGCTGATATCTTTTTTTAAATACTTTATTTACTATATTAATCCCGTACCCACACACTTCTAATTCTAAAAAGTGAAAGCATACCTGTGAGAAGGTCGCCCTGGTAGTAGTTGTAGGTTTTTATACAGTAACCAAGACCAATCTGTGAGTGAATTTGACCATTGGAAAAAGAGCTACTGTGATAATACTGCAATGCGGGTTGGATTGAATTGAGCCCTTAATCTTAAATTTTCAAGGTGATGATTCTTCCTAACACAATCGAGCTCGCCACCTTTAGTCTTAAACCTGGAAATTACCCCAGGTTCGTTCAGCAATATCTATGGGAAAAATGAATGGGGAAAGAATAGGGGTTTGGAATAAATGCCGAAAATAAGGTCTGAGGTTAACACAGGTTTAGGAGATCTTATACGTTTGGTTCTATGAGATAATAGCAGTCGGTTAACATGACCTTTATGAATTATGAGCCTTTATGTGCTTTTTCTTACAAAATAAATTCTTGAAAATTCACAAAAAGTGACGTTAGCTGATGATTATCTCATATAATAAAGGATCTCCTAAACCTGTGTTTACCGCATAACTTATTTTCGGAGTTTATACAAAAACCCTACAAAAATGTAATTAATTTTCTCCATAGGCTTTGTCCAACTAACCATGGCGGAGTTAGTGCCAACAAAAAGACACCATTACTATTTCTCTAACACAATACCGCAATAAATGTGAGTTCACATTTCAAAGATTTTTTTTGCACCCCATGAGGGGATTCAAAATTAAACCGCAAGTGGCAATACACATCAGCTTCCTGTTTAACGTGGTAACTATACAGGGGAATTCGTTCTTCTTGCAAAGCAAGTAAACGTTTTATTCAAATTATTATATTAATCTGACAATCCACAATAATCGCATGTAACCGTACTCATTGGGGTTGAGTACCCTTTAACAAACCATACAACTCTGCACAATGACTACTTTGAACAATATACAACGTTTAAAAAAAAGAAAACATTTACTGGAAAAACTATGCAGATGCAAACTTTGTATCTGCACAGTTCTTCCTGTAAATTAGTTTTAGTCCAATTTTCAGTGGAAAATGTTCAAACTAATTGTGCATAGAGTTGTATGGTTTGTTACACTTTGAAATCAATGGTTTTTGTTTGGCATACATTTTAAAGTGAAAAATCAGAGTATCAGTTTAATTCCATTATTGTGGAATTGCCTAACTACTACATTAACCTGTGCTAGCTCTTGAAAACCCTTCTCAATATGTAGGATTTCCAGCAGTGACATACGCCCACTGTTGGCTCCATTCTGACGCTGTATTTTAACTTTTAGAAACATCAATAATCATCGCTTTCAAACCGCTTTTCGAAACATATGATGATATGCCCCTTATCTTTCATATCAGCGAGAAATAGTCGTTCAAATAAAAAAGATACAGTTACTGTAGCAGTTTTGCACAGATCCACAAGCTGTGTGTGCCTGCAGTTGACGAACTACACTTCCTCCCCAGTTCCGCTTATGCACAGGTGTGTTGAGCCCGCTAATTAGCGAAGTAGCACAGGTGGCCGCCTATGTCTTGTGTAAACAAGCGATGTAGCATGGAGATATGGCCTTGTGGGAACACTAACCCTATTAAGGAGTGTAGTAATTTAACCTTTTGTTTTTTGGAAATTATTTATTTATAAGATTACTTCCTTGTTCCAACACCGTACTGCAACCAATGCGTTTTAACATTCAGAACGAGCGTCCGGGATCTTAACAAAACGCCTCTGACCAGAAGATACTATGTCAATATGTGCTAAAGCAGTTAGCGTCTATGAATGGGGTAAACCTCGGCTTGTCAGATGTCTGTTTTGACAAACAGGTTTTTCGACAGGCAGGGTAATCTAATAGCCCTTCTGAGATTGACTCCACCAATGTGAGGGGTCCTATTGAGGAAAACGATTAGTTAACTGTAGGGTATGATGACACAATGGGGAAAGACAAGCCAGACTAGGGTCGGAACCATATGAGATGGATGTTTCTAAACGAAAGTTTTTTTTGTGACGGACCAATGAAAGTTGGAAAGTGCCACCTTTAAAGTATTCCGCATATTTCTCGGCAATATTCCATTCTTCCTCTTGTCTGGTTGTGAACTGAAAACGTTGAGTACACTTTTGAATGACTGATGTGGATGTGTTCACCATGCAAAGCTTGGCTTTGGCTTTTAACCATGCATGATTTAGAAGAGAAGTATCCTCTTACTCATACATGGCTAGCCAGTAGCTTTTGAACTTATAAAGCTAGCTATAATCGTTCAACACTTCGTAAAGTTACGTTTAAAATTGCTGCTCAGCTCTTGACTTCAGTCAAATGTAGCATGCTTAATTAATATTACACCCATTGCAAACCGATATGTTATGGACACCTTACGTTATTTGTTGTTCCCAACATCCTACTGTCTCTTGTCTTTGCAGATGCAGCAGTGCACAGTAGTCAGTGCATCCGGCGATCGTGTCCCACTAGCGGATGGCCGAGCCGTGATCCTAGGTCGTGGTCCAGAGACTGGAGTTGTTGACAAGAAGTGCTCCCGACACCAGGGTAAGAGGACTAGCTAGCTAACGTTAGAATCATATCAATGGCTATGTTCTAATTATTTATCTTTCCTCCCAAAGTGTGCACTTGTTCACTTTCCTTCATGGATTTAAATATAAATGAAAGATATATGGAAACTCCCTCTAGTCCATGCTTACACCAATTCAATGATTTTAAATGTGAGAAGAGTAGTGAATGAGTGTAGGCTTCAGGAGAAAGGAGAGATTATTGGGATGCATATTTCTGTCTGCATAATTTGAAATGCGGTGTCTGGTGGGATTACTCCAGCCAGCTATCTAAACTGCACAACTATCTAAAATGTGTCATATTCCTTCTAGTGAAGCTGGTGGCCTGTTATGCAGACAAGGAGGTACTTGTAACACAGGTATGAAATTATTACATTGTGCCTGTTGTTGAGGCCAACACTCTTATCTTAGTTTTACACTACTGCTTAACCTGTCTGTAACTGTTGTCAAAGTAACAATAGTTTTCCTCTTCAGCTTGGTCCAAACCCCTCTTCCTTGGGCAGTGAGAGTCTTGGTAGAGGCCAGTCTGGCAGACTGACCCATGACAGCACCCTCTACCTGGTCAACCAGAGCCACCCCTTCAGAGTGCAGTTCTCTGCTTCCAACAAAACCTCCTCATCCTCTGCCCAGAAGGGGAAGGCTGTAGAAAGGTTGAAAGCGTCGGATAAGACAAAAGGCGGAAAGAACGACAGAGGGAGGGAGATTCAGAGCACAGGTCCCAAACGCAGCATCAAATACTTTTTTGCTTCCTCTCCCAAGAAGGTATGAGAACAGGTTCATCTTTAACCAAGAAAATGGCATGCATTTTAATTTGTCTAGCAATATTTTGAGTAACCAAAAGGACTGAACGTATCATTTCAACTTTCAAAATACACCATGTTTTCTCAATGCCAACCTCAATTTACGTGAAATTTCATTTGACCGTACCATACCATGATTGCATTTTTGTTTTTCACGCAGGCATCCAAGAGGCCGCACAGTTCTGAGGAGGACCTGCAGGAGAAGTGTCGGAGGACTGCGGGCTCAGACAGTGGGGGCGAGGACGAGGATGAAAAGCTTGCTGAGGAGAAGCTCCGACAGCTCCAGGAGATGTCAGAGAGGGCTTCAGGGGCTAGCAGAGACAGTGTCCAGCAGCAGGTCTCAGCTTGTTCTCAAAGCCACTGGCAGGAGATAGGAAACCTCATGCTCTTCACTGCTGCTGGCGTCACTGGAAGCACCAAGGTAAGAGCTAACTAGGTAATTCTGTAAAACTCAATATTTGATTTAAGCCAATGAGTCTGTGTGTTATGTTTGAATGAGATGATGAATAGAATATAACTTTATTGTCCATCCAAGGATGAAAAATGTTTAGGCCTACATTTGAGCACTTTGGACATATTGTTGCCACCAACAATCTAATTGTGTCGAAGTTCGCCTTCTACCAAGCAGTACAAACACAATTACTTTTAGTAACATCATGTTTAAAGCCGACCCATCTTTCTTCCTGGCCCAGATTGCTGGATTCGACATTGACGGCTGTATCATCACCACCAATTCTGGCAAAGTGTTTCCCACCAGCCCAGATGACTGGAGGTCAGTCAGTGTGCTGTTCTGTCAAGTTCTGGCTTTGCATACGGCCTCCTCTCGCTTTGCTCTCTCCTCAACTCTCTTCTTCATCTCTTGACTTGAGTCATTTCCTTGCCTTTATTTGATCTCTAATCTCCTTTACAGGATTCTCTTTCCTGAGATCCAACCCAGACTGGCCAGCTTATTAAAGAAAGGCTACAAGGTAGAAGCAAACATACAGTGCCTTGCAAAAGTATTCATCCCCCTTGGCGTTTTTCCTATTTTGTTGCATTACAACCTGTAATTTAAATGGATTTCATGTAATGGACATACACAGTCAAAATTGGTGAAGTGAAATGAAAAAAATAACTTGTTAAAAAAAATTCAAAAAGATAAATAATGGAAAAGTGGTGCTTGCATATGTATTCACCCCCTTTGCTATGAAGCCCCTAAATAAGATTTGGTGTAGCCAATTACCTTCAGAAGTCACATAATTAGTTAAATAAAGTCTCATGATCTGTCACATGATCTCAGTATATATACACCTGTTCTGAAAGGCCCCAGAGTCTGCAACACCATTAAGCAAGGAGCACCACCAAGCAAGCGGCACCATGAAGACCAAGGAGCTCTCCAAACAGGTCAGGGACAAAGTTGTGGAGAAGTACAGATCACGGTTGGGTTATAAAAAAATATATGAAACTTTGAACATCCCACAGAGCTCCATGAAATCCATTATTTAAAAAATTGAAAGAGTATGGCACCATAACAAACCTGCCAAGAGAGGGCCGCCCACCAAAACTCATGGACCAGGCAAGGAGGGCATTAATCAGAGAGGCAACAAAGAGACCAAAGATAACCCTGAAGGAGCTGCAAAGCTCCACAGCGGAGATTGGAGTATCTGTCCATAGGATCACTTTAAGCTGTACACTCCACAGAGCTGGGCTTTACAGAAGAGTGGCCAGAAAAAAGCCATTGCTTCAAGAAAGAAATAAGCAAACACGTTTGGTGTTCGCCAAAAGGCATGTGGGAGACTCCCCAAACATATGGAAGAAGGTACTCTGGTCAGATGAGATTAAAATTGAGTTTTTTGGCCATCAAGGAAAACGAGAACACCATCTCCACAGTGAAGCACGGTGGTGGCAGCATCATTTTTCATCAGCAGGGACTGGGAAACTGGTCAGAATTGAAGGAATGATGGGATGGCGCTACAGTGAGGGGAAAAAAGTATTTGATCCCCTGCTGATTTTGTACGTTTGCCCACTGACAGAGAAATGATCAGTCTATAATTTTAATGGTAGGTTTATTTGAACAGTGAGAGACAGAATAACAACACAAAAATCCAGAAAAACGCATGTCAAATGTTATAAATTGATTTGCATTTTAATGAGGGAAATAAGTATTTGACCCCCTCTCAATCCGAAAGATTTCTGGCTCCCAGGTGTCTTTTATACAGGTAATGAGCTGAGATTAGGAGCACACTCTTAAAGGGAGTGCTCCTAATCTCAGTTTGTTACCTGTATAAAAGACACCTGTCCACAGAAGCAATCAATCAATCAGATTCCAAACTCTCCACCATGGCCAAGACCAAAGAGCTCTCCAAGGATGTCAGGGACAAGATTGTAGACCTACACAAGGCTGGAATGGGCTACAAGACCATCGCCAAGCAGCTTGGTGAGAAGGTGACAACAGTTGGTGCGATTATTCGCAAATGGAAGAAACACAAAAGACCTGTCAATCTCCCTCGGCCTGGGGCTCCATGCAAGATCTCACCTCGTGGAGTTGCAATGATCATGAGAACGGTGAGGAATCAGCCCAGAACTACACGGGAGGATCTTGTCAATGATCTCAAGGCAGCTGGGACCATAGTCACCAAGAAAACAATTGGTAACACACTACGCCGTGAAGGACTGAAATCCTGCAGCACCTGCAAGGTCCCCCTGCTCAAGAAAGCACATATACAGGCCCGTCTGAAGTTTGCCAATGAACATCTGAATGATTCAGAGGAGAACTGGTTGAAAATGTTGTGGTCAGATGAGACCAAAATTGAGCTCTTTGGCATCAACTCAACTCGCCGTGTTTGGAGGAGGAGGAATGCTGCCTATGACCCCCAAGAACACCATCCCCACCGTCAAACATGGAGGTGGAAACATTATGCTTTGGGGGTGTTTTTCTGCTAAGGGGACAGGACAACTTCACTGCATCAAAGGGAAGATGGACGGCGCCATGTACCATCACATTTTGGGTGAGAACCTCCTTCCCTCAGCCAGGGCATTGAAAATGGGTCGTGGATGGGTATTCCAGCATGACAATGACCCAAAACACACGGCCAAGGCAACAAAGGAGTGGCTCAAGAAGAAGCACATTAAGGTCCTGGAGTGGCCTAGCCAGTCTCCAGACCTTAATCCCATAGAAAATATGTGGAGGGAGCTGAAGGTTCGAGTTGCCAAACATCAGGCTCGAAACCTTAATGACTTGGAGAAGATCGGCAAAGAGGAGTGGGACAAAATCCCTCCTGAGATGTGTGCAAACCTGGTGGCCACATACAGGAAACGACTGACCTCTGTGATTGCCAACAAGGGTTTTGCCACCAAGTACTAAGTCATGTTTTGCAGATGGGTCAAATACCTCTTTCCCTCATTAAAATGCAAATCAATTTATAACATTTTTGACATGCGTTTTTCTGGATTTTGTTGTTGTTATTCTGTCTCTCACTGTTCAAATAAACCTAGCATTAAAATTATAGACTGATCATGTCTTTGTCAGTGGGCAAACGTACAAAATCAGCAGGAGATCAAATACTTTTTTCCCTCACTGTAAATACAGGGAAATTCTTGAGGGAAACCTGTTTCAGTCTTCCAGATATTTGAGACTGGGAAGGAGGTTCACATTCCAGCAGGAAAATGACCCCAAGCATACTGCTAAAGCAACACTCGAGTGGTTTAAGGGGAAACATTTAAATGTCTTGGAATGGCCTAGTCAAAGCCCAGACCTCAATCCAATTGAGAAACTGTGGTATGACTTAGAGATTGCTGTACACCAGTGGAACCCATCCAATTTGAAGGAGCTGGAGCAGTTTTGCATTGAAGAATGGGCAAAAATCCTAGTGGCTAGATGTGCCAAGCTTATAGAGACATACCCCAAGAGACTTGCAGCTGTAATTGCTGCAAAAGGTGGCTCTACAAAGTATTGACTTTGGGGGGGTGAATAGTTATGCACGCTCAAGTTTTCAGTTTTTTTGTCTTATTTCTTGTTTGTTTCACAAAAAATATTTTGCATCTTCAAAGTGGTAGGCATGTTGTGTAAATCAAATGAAACAAACCCCCCCCAAAATCAATTTTAATTCCAGGTTTTAAGGCAACAAAATAGGAAAAATGCCAAGGGGGGTGAATACTTTCGCAAGCCACTGTAAATGTATTGTCAAGCATGGACACTGCAAAGCTGTTTTATGATACCTATTTCTTATCCATCCCTTTAATGGTATATGTGGCTAGATGAATAGCTAATGATGTCTCTGTTGCCCCTCCCAGGTTGTGTTCTTCACCAATCAGATGGGTATCTCTAGGGGGAAACTGAAACCTGAGGATTTCAGGTCTAAAGTGGAGAACATTCTGAAGAAATTACAGCTCCCCGTACAGGTTAGTCAACAAACATTTACACACAAAGATGGAGCTTGAAAGCAGATACACTATTTTATCTATGTGTTTGTCAGTGTTTTATTGTGTGTAATTCAGATGTTGACACCTCTAACTGTGTGTGTGTGTGTGTGTGTGTCTCAGGTCTTTGTGGCGTCTGGTCCTGGGATCTACAGGAAGCCAGTGATGGGGATGTGGGAGCACCTGTGTGAGAAGGTGAGACCATAAGGCACGCATCATATCAGACATTGTGAATAGGGATTACAGGTAGACGACGATTGTATCCTTCTACAAACCACCACAACACGGGTGTGTCGCAAAAGGTTCACAAAACCAGCTCCCTTTAGCATTGTCTAGTTGTTTGTCATCCACTCAGACCACATTACCCTGGTGAGTCATGACATAGACCAGTCACTGCTTCAACATTTACATTACATTTGAGTAATTTAGCAGACACTCTTATCCAGAGCAACTTACAGTAGTGAGTGAGTACATTTTCATACTTCAACAAGGGCATGGTGTGGGAAATAAATAGAATGGAATAGAATCCAAATATCAGCTTAGAATACAATAGAAATATTAGGATAGAATAGAAAAGTACTTTAATTTGTCCATCTGCTTCCAGCTAGAAATTTATTTTTCCCTGCTCCCAACCCCCCAAACAACAAACATACAAACATGGTCCAACATGTTTTTCCTCTCTCAGGCAAATGGCGGTGTGGCTGTAGACAAGAGCCAGAGTCTCTATGTGGGAGGTGAGTCAACAACAACATAACACCCCATAGCAACATAACGTCTTCCTCTTACTTAGCCTATTCTTATCCTGACTCTTGTAAGTGATGTGCTGCTTATGATCACGTTTGATTAACTTGTACTCGCCCTCCAGCAGCTAAGAGCCTGATACCTTTCTCTCTCCTCTGCCACAGATGCAGCGGGACGCCCTGTTAACTGGGCTCCTGGCAAGAAGAAGAAGGACTTCTCCAGCAGTGACCGACTGGTGAGAGGATCTGTACTAACCTCTAGATCAATCTGTTCACCCGTCCACCAGTCTGTCTTGATTTCTAAGAAATTTCACAGAAAAGTGTCCCAAATAGTGGGTTGAAATGAGGAATTTGAATATGATAAAACATCAGTAGAGACAAATCAGCAGAGAAAAGTGTTCTGTGTCCACTGACTGTATGAAATGTCATTCTTGCTATGGTGTACGTACACTTTATGACCAGGTGTTGTACAGGCATGCATTGCAAATCTTAATAATGCCTTACTGTCACTGATACACCCTATCTCTCTCTCTCTCTCTGGGGACTAGTTTGCTCTGAACCTTGGCCTGCAGTTCCAAACTCCAGAGGAGTTCTTCCTGGGCTGGAAGAGCGCCCCCTTCAGTCTTCCTCCATTTGACCCTGTGTGTAACCTGGTGGATATCTGTGGTATTCTGTCTGCACAGAATACGTATGTGAAGCTTTTTCAAGCCTCTGTATGTATGTGTGTGCATGGACTCATCTGACTGTGTGTGTCTCTCTCCAGAGGAAATGTGACTCCAACGCCCGTCTGTATGACCCGCCCAGTGCCTCCCTCACCTCCACCAAGCAGGAAGTCATCATTGCTGTGGGTTTCCCTGCTTGTAAGTGGACGTGTATTCCTTCTTTTATCCCCATCCTCCCCGTCTTCCTCTCTCTTTACTGACGACTATCTCCCTTTTTTTTTTTATCTAGCCGGGAAATCAACCTTTTTCCACACACACATCGTCCCCAAAGGTTACGTGTACGTGAACAGGGTGAGTGGATCAGTGTGCTGTTGGCTCTTAACATACACACGCATATACACACACTGACCTGACCTGACCTGTGTTTGTCAGGACACCCTGGGCTCGTGGCAGAGCTGTGTATCGGCCTGTGAGCGGGCTCTGAAGGAGGGCCGCAGCGTTGTGGTGGATAACACCAACCCAGACCCTGAGTCTCGCAAACGGTACCTGTCTCTGTGCTCCTACTAGTGTGTGGAGCTCTTTTGGTTGCAATTCATGAACAACCTAAACCACATACATATCAGATTGTGGTAAATCCGCTACATGCATGAACCAAACCAGAGATCTTTGATTGAGTGTGTTTGTAGGGAATAACATGTAACTTCTATACATTGTCCCGCTCCAGGTATATTGATGTCAGCCAGAGTTTGGGGGTGTCCTGTCGCTGCTTCAACTTCTCTGCCTCCCTAGAGCAGGCCAAGCACAACAACAGAGTAGGTCTCCTCTTTACCTCTACTGAACTGTGTATACCAGACTACACATGATTAATTCTTCAGCAGTTCAGTGTAGAGGGTGACGTGAACTTGGGACCTGATCGTACACACAGTATAGGCCAACCTGGGACTTAAACTACAACATCTGGTTCAATGTTCAATTCTTAAACCTTATAATGTACAGGCCATGGGAGACACCCAGTTCAATATAGGCTCTGAGGTGATGCCTTGATGCAGAGTGTTGTTCATTATTGGGCTCTTCCTGTGCTTTACAGTTCCGTGAGATGGCCCCCTCCACCACTAAGCACCTCAAAGTCAATGACATGATCTTCCACAGTTACAAGTAAGTGACATTGGATATTATCAAGGGACTTCAAAGCATCATATTCTCAAAGTAGGGATTCACTGGCCTCTACATTGGGTTGAAAGGATCAGAGCACACTAATATTGTGTTTACACAGTCAGCCCAATTCTGATCTATTGCCCAATAATTGGCAAAAGAGCTGATCTGATTGGTCAAAAGACCAATTAGTGGAAAAAAATCAGAATTGGGTTACCTGTATAAACGCAGCATATATGTACAGTGAGGGAAAAAATTATTTGATCCCCTGCTGATTTTGTACGTTTGCCCACTGACAAAGACATGATCAGTCTATAATTTTAATGGTAGGTTTATTTGAACAGTGAGAGACAGAATAACAGCAAAAAAATCCAGAAAAACGCATGTCAAAAATGTTATAAATTGATTTGCATTTTAATCAGGGAAATAAGTATTTGACCCCCTCTCAATCAGAAAGATTTCTGGCTCCCAGGTGACTTTTATACAGGTAACGAGCTGAGATTAGGAGCACACTCTTAACGGGAGTGCTCCTAATCTCAGTTTGTTATCTGTATAAAGGACACCTGTCCACAGAAGCAATCAATCAATCAGATTCCAAACTCTCCACCATGGCCAAGACCAAAGAGCTCTCCAAGGATGTCAGGGACAAGAAAGATTGTAGACCTACACAAGGCTGGAATGGGCTACAATACCATCGCCAAGCAGCTTGGTGAGAAGGTGACAACAGTTGGTGCGATTATTCGCAAATGGAAGAAACACAAAATAACTGTCAATCTCCCTCGGCCTGGGGCTTCATGCAAGATCTCACCTCGTGGAGTTGCAATGATCATGAGAACGGTGAGGAATCAGCCCAGAACCACATGGGATGATCTTGTCAATGCTCTGAAGGCAGCTGGGACCATAGTCACCAAGAAAACAATTGGTAACACACTACGCCGTGAAGGACTGAAATCCTGCAGCGCTCGCAAGGTCCCCATGCTTAAGAAAGCACATATACAGGCCCGTCTGAAGTTTGCCAATGAACATCTGAATGATTCAGAGGAGAACTGGGTGAAAATGTTGTGGTCAGATGAGACCAAAAGCGAGCTCTTTGGCATCAACTCAACTCGCCGTGTTTGGAGGAGGAGGAATGCTGCCTATGACCCCAAGAACACCATCCCCACCGTCAAACATGGAGGTGGAAACATTATGCTTTGGGGGTGTTCTTCTGCTAAGGGGACAGGACAACTTCACCGCATCAAAGGGACGATGGACGGGGCCATGTACCGTCAAATCCTGGGTGAGAACCTCCTTCCCTCAGCCAGGGCAATGAAAGGTCGTGGATGGGTATTCCAGCATTACAATGACCCAAAACACACGGCCAAGGCAACAAAGGAGTGGCTCAAGAAGAAGCACATTAAAGTCCTGGAGTGGCCTAGCCAGTCTCCAGACCTTAATCCCATAGAAAATCTGTGGAGGGAGCTGAAGGTTCGAGTTGCCAAACGTCAGCCTCGAAACCTTAATGACTTGGAGAAGATCTGCAAAGAGGAGTGGAACAAAATCCCTCCTGAGATGTGTGCAAACCTGGTGGCCAACTACAAGAAACGTCTGACCTCTGTGATTGCCAACAAGGGTTTTGCCACCAAGTACTAAGTCATGTTTTGCAGAGGGGTCAAATACTTATTTCCCTCATTAAAATGCAAATCAATTTATAACATTTTTGACATGCGTTTTTCTGGATTTTTTTGTTGTTATTCTGTCTCTCACTGTTCAAATAAACCTAGCATTAAAATTATAGACTGATCATGTCTTTGTCAGTGGACAAACATACAAAATCAGCAGGGGATCAAATACTTTTTTCCCTCACTGTATGTCATGTAAAATAAATGCATGTCTGAAGGTATTTGCCCACTCTGAACAGACTTTTTCTCTCCACACAGGAAGAAGTTTGTGGTGCCCAGTCTCTCGGAAGGCTTTTCAGAAATCCTGCAAGTTCATTTTGTCCCAACCTTTACAGACAGCCAATCAGAGGCTCTCTTCAGGCAGTTCTCTGAAGGCTGATTGGGTGGCTGGCATTCTAACAATATTCTAACCTAAGATTTGTCAGATTGTTATTGGTGCAGAGTCATTTCAGGAAAATAATCTAGCAGTCCAACATTTTTCTATGCTGTGGCTGTATGTAGACAAACTATTTAGTTACCTGCTGCTAATCAACAAATCATTGCTATTGCACTACATACATTTGAAGGTACAGATGTATTAAATGTAACCACAGCAGACAGAACACATCAGTATTTTTCTTTGATTGGCTTGAGTTTCATATTTTCATATCATGTTTTCTTGTCAGATATACAGTACTTGTTTCCAGAAAGCCAAAAAAGTAAAAAACCATTAGCAATGTTTTATTAATTTTATATTTTAATAAATTGTTATTAATTTGATTTGTTTTACAATGGGTCCTATTCTGTAAAGTAGGGAAACATGAGAATAACATAAAGGTTTATCGTATTATTTGTATATGAATGAATGTATGTGTTCCGAGTTGTGTAATGTGACTTCCCATGCTGTGTATTCCTACAAACATACCTTTGCGCCTTACTGCATCTATATATTCGGCAGATCCGCCCGAACACAGAAACCTGTCTGGCACGTATTCATTCAAAGTTGCGCTGTGAGGAGTTAGGAGTGTGTTCTCTGCTTGTTAATTACAGTCAGGCCTCTGCAAATAGGAACATCAAACAATGGTGCTACTAATTAACACTCCATCCTTCACATGCCACCCTTCACAAACATGCACATCAATTAGACATCATTTGCAGGCATACATGAAGACAGTCTTATTCACAAAGTACATTTGTACAACTGTTCACTCCTCAGACACAAACAGTGGTAAACATAGAGCCAACGATAGAGATTATACTATAGAAGGCCTGTGGATTTGACCTATGACCTTTGTGAATGTGTGTTTGGTTGCGTTTCGCATCCTTGACTGAAGCCCTTGTTGATGAAGTAGGCCCTGGTCTCCTCCGGGGCAGCAATGCTTTCTCTGCAGACACACACACGCTCCATTAACCAGTTATTATACACTCACCAGTTTATTATTTATTCGACCTCTCACATCAACGAGTTGATTTCGCCCACAGGACTACCGCTGACTTGATGTTTTTTGTATGGTACTGGATCCGGCGCGCCTGGCACTGATGATCATACCACGCTCAAAGTCGCTTAGGTCACTTTGCCCATTCTAACGTTCAATCGAACAGTAACTGGATGCCTGTCTGCCTGCTTTATATAGCAAGCCACGGCCACGCGACTCTGTCTGAGCTATCCATTTTCGTGAACGGGCCGGTGAGTGTATATACTAGAAATAGAACTTGAGTCAAGTCAAGACATGATTCATGGGTGGATGACACCAGTCATGGCCAGCAGTACTGTGATTGTTTTTGCTTTATCAGGAACAAGTTCAACTTGGTTAACTAGTTGAGTTGGGCTTGTCAAGCGAAACAATTATTGCACTCCGTCTGCTTGTTCAGGAGGAGTGGTAGTCATCTTACCGTGTTGTTGGAGTTGGGACTCATCTTCATGGCTAGGCTTGCGGGCTTGGTACACGGCAAGCAGATGGGCCTGTAGAGAAGACATACCAGATAAACAACACAGGGAGGTACAAGAAGTCATGTAGTTAGACAAGAATAGAGTGCAATAAAGTACTCATGTTAATATTGTAACAATGCTTAAGAATGTCATTGCTGGTGAATGATTTGACCAAGTAGATGGAATCGTGGTGGTTTGGAATAAGAGCGATTTATAAGGGAATCATTTCATGAGCTAGTGTTGCTGCTCAACCCACCTTGCCGTCCATGACAGCTTGATTTTTTTCAACCTTAACCAGAGCAATGTCATAGTCATAGAACTCTTTCACGTTCTTGTCGCTGAGTCCATCAACGTTGGACTGTGGGTGCGGGATTACAGACAACACCTTTGCTACCTGCTTTCCTTCAAAACCTGGGGGACATTGGCATTGGTTTGATACTTACTAGTAAGCATTATTTAGGGATGTTAGTTAGACGTTAGCGTCTTTTAGCGGCATATCATAGAATAATGTGTTGTTTATTATTCGTGAGAAGTTCATAAATTCTGAGGATTCTCAGGGCTGATTTCGCAGACACAGAAATTAAACTGCATTGAAAGTGCTTTTCTGTCTAGGAGTAGGCTTAATATGTGTCCTCAATGTTTGTGGGGACATAAATTAAAGTAAGACCTTGCGTGAGATCAGCAATGGCCTGGTCAAAGTGGGTCTTGGAGATGCTGCCTGAGGTATCCATCAGGATGAACACATTCATACGACCATTAGCAACCCGCAGGGTCCTACCAAAGGTTCCTCCTATAAAGCAGGGACAAGATATGGAGTGTAATGGTCTCAGCTTAGAGTCACACATATGACACACAGAGTATACAGAGGTACAGCGTGGTCCTCTGTAGCTCAGCTGGTAGAGCATGGCGCTTGTAACGCCAGGGTAGTGGGTTCGATCCCCGGGACCACCCATACACAAAAATGTATGCACGCATGACTGGAAGTCGCTTTGGATAAAAGAGTCTGCTAAATGGCATATTATTTATTATTATTATATTATTACAGCGATACAGCATACTCACACATGCAAGCACGTACACACTATAATGGAACTTTTTTTTTTTTTTAGGGGTAGATCAGCTTTCATATTGCAGATAGATTGTAACTTCCATCAATGTAATTGTCTGCATCACTTCCAATCCCCCATATGTTTTTTTCTCTCGCAAGTATATATATATATATATACACATACACATACAGTTGAAGTCGGAGGTTTACATACACCTTAACCAAATACATTTAAACTCAGTTTTTCACAATTCCTGACATTTAATCCTAGTAAAAATTCCCTATCTTAGGTCAGTTAGGATCACCACTTTATTTTAAGAATGTGAAATGTCAGAATAATAGTAGAGAGAATGATTTATTTCAGCTTTTATTTATTTCACCATATTCCCAGTGAGTCAGAAGTTTACATACACTCAATTAGTATCTGGTAGCATTGCCTTTAAATTGTTTAACTTGGGTCAAACGTTTCGTGTAGCCTTCCACAAGCTTCCCACAGTAAGTTGGGTGAATTTTGGCCCATTCCTCCTGACAGAGCTGGTGTAACTGAGTCAGGTTTGTAGGCCTCCTTGCTCGCACATGCTTTTTCAGTTCTGCCCACACATTTTCTATAGGATTGAGGTCAGTGCTTTGTGATGGCCACTCCAATACCTTGACTTTGTTGTCCTTAAGCCATTTTGCCACAACTTTGGAAGTATGCTTGGGGTCATTGTCCCTCTGGAAGACCCATTTGCGACCAAGCTTTAACTTTCTGACTGATATCTTGAGATGTTGCTTCAATATATCCACATAATTTTCCTTCCTCAAGATGCCATCTATTTTGTGAAGTGCACCAGTCCCTCCTGCAGCAAAGCACCCCCACAGCATGATGCTGCCACCCCCGTGCTTCATGGTTGGGATGGTGTTCTTCGGCTTGCAAGCAACCCCCTTTTTCCTCTAAACATAACGATGGTCATTATGGCCAAACCGTTCTATTTTTGTTTCATCAGACCAGAGGACATTTCTCCAAAAAGTACGATCTTTGTCCCCTTGTGCAGTTGCAAACCGTAGTCTGACTTTTTTATGGCGGTTTTGGAACAACTTCCTTGCTGAGCGCCCTTTCAGGTTATGTCGATATAGGACTCGTTTTACTGTGGATATAGACACTTTTGTAGCTGTTTCCTCCAGCATCTTCACAAGGTCCTTTGCTGTTGTTCTGGGATTGATTTGCGCTTTTCGCACCAAAGTACGTTAATCTCTAGGAGACAGAACGCGTCTCCTTCCTGAGCGGTATGACGGCTGCGTGGTCCCATTGTGACGCGTACCGAGTATACGAAGAGGCAGACACAGGAATTAACAAGGTCAAGGTTTACTTAACAAAGAGCAATAACAAAGATAAAGTACGCGACACGAAGCTAAACAATCACACACAACATCATTCACAACAGTCCAAATAGGGGTGGTGATGAGGTGCAGGTGCGCTGGAGGTGATTAGGGTGCGTTGGGTTCCCATTCCGGTGTTGCCGAGGTGGTGCGCTCAGACCAGTGGCTCAGTAGACTGGCGAATCAGAGCGTCGGAGGGGAGCAACGGGAGGAGACGTGACACCTATGGTGTTTATACTTGCGTACTATTGTTTGTACATACAGTTGAAGTCGGAAGTTTACATACACTTAGGTTGGAGTCATTAAAACTCGTTTTTCAACCACTCCACAAATTTCTTGTTAACAAACTATAGTTTTGGCAAGTCGGTTAGGATATAATATAATATGAAAAGCGCCATTCATCTCGGTGCCTATCAATCAATGTGTTTCTAAGATTCAAAAAGCTTCTTATACCAAAGTAAGCATTATACCGAAGTAAGCGGGGCTCTATGCACGCCTGTATGCACTTGAACACAATTGGTGCTGCTAACTCTCAACTAATAAATGCCCTCTCACACCAACCACACATCTGTAAGAGTGGGTATTTGCCTGAATGCATAGAATATCAATGGCCCATTCAGGAGGCCATGATGACAGCTACTACTTTACGACTATGATCGTGTCCCAAATGGCACCCTATTCCCTAAATAGTGCACTGGGCCCTGGTCAAAAGTAGTGCACTATAAAGGGAATAAGGTGGCATTTGGGACGCAGCCTATGTCTTCAGTGTAAAGGATGTGTTTATGTAGTAGTACTGTAAATAGAGCAGTAGTGCTTAGTCATAATGTTTTACATCTGGCCACAGGGTATATAGTGATTAATACATCAAGCGCAGCAGGTTCATACAGGAAACCTGAGTGTAGCATCAGCTGATATTGCACCAATTAGATTAATCTCACTACCTTAATATGACGGTCTATTTAGTAAACCAGGTTTGCACACACATTCTCTATGTGCTAGTATTCTTGGTGACATGCTAATCCTGTAACATGCGTTACTCGCCATGCATGTCTGTTTTCTGCTTTCCCACCACCCGCCCCAGCCTTCACCTGTTTGGGCTCTGCTTTTGTTTCGGTCAGGGGGATTGGTATAGCGTACCTTGTTCACTGCCTGTTATTATATCTTACATTATTTATGCACTGTCAGTGAGCTACCCTGAAGGAGCAGAGCCTAACGTCAAGACTAAGTACATGTATTGTAATCTTCTAATAAATGGTTAAACGAATACGTGGCGTTTCCTGTCTGAACAGGTAAAGTCCACTCTCTTTGTGCCCGATATGGAGAAAAACATGCAATAGCTTACTTTATCTGGCAGATGTTGTACAAGGGTGAGGGCTTCTCACATCGGTTATCACACACTGAAATGGTGCCTGTCCAGTCTGCTAGAGAGGTGCAGTTCTTCTGAGCCGACCCAGACAGGGTGAAGCCACTGTGGCAGGAGAAAGTCTGGCTCTCCCCATGCTTCAACCACTGTTCCCTGGGCCAGAACTCACCATGGTCCAATTGGAGCTGGCCTGGACACATTCTCTTTGTGAGAGAGAGAGAGAGAGTGAGAGAAACACATTTTGAGAGAGAGTGAGATGGAGAGATAGAGGAGAATACAGCAGTAGTTTATCAAATACTAACTGATTACCTGCCTCCTCCCGTATCCACCCAAAACACTACTTTTACAGGATGCTCGCTACACTCATCTGCCATTGGCCAGCCTCATGGCGGACCCCTCCCCATCAGTGCTGCACACCCGTTGGCTGACGGGGTACGGGCAGTGTCCTGCCTTACAGTGATAGGGCAGCTCAGTACCTACCTGAGAGTAGGACACGTTGCCTCCTCCGATCTTCTCAGCGATGGAACAGTTCTGGGGCTGTTCCTCCTCATAGTCCCCATAGTCTTCCCCCTACATCCACACTGAAATACAGGCATACGTATGACTGAAATGTAGACACATAACTGAAATACAGACATATTCCTGAAATGCAGACACATTACTGAAATACAGACACATTGCTGAAATACAGTCACATATTACTGAAATACAGTCACATATTTCTGAAATACAGTCACATATTACTGAAATATAGTCACATATTACTGAAATAGTCACTTTGATATTTTAAGTAGTAATTGTGCACCAATATTGAATTTTAAAAGCCTGTTATATTAAATGAAGTGCCCTTTAATATAGACCACATGGGGAATTCAGTAAATCCGATTTTCTATATTAATAAAGACTTGCTAATGTGCCAAAATTCTGTCCCTCGTGAATCATTTACCTCTGTCCCTCATTTTAAGGTCAACCCTGTGACGTGAACTGAACTCTTGTTTTAATATGGTAAAACCTTCCTTTATAAATATTTTTCTCAAAATAAACAATGAACATCTAACAGTCAAATCATGTAAAAGTAGGTGACCTGGTTATACTCTTTTTGGCCATTTTCTGGTGTTTTGTGGCAGAAAACCGAGGATCGCGCATAATACTTCTACCCTATTACCCATAGATAGACAGGCTAGAAATCATTAAGCATGCATTCAGTTGTCACTCCCTGTTGCACACAACAAGCTTCTTTTCCCCCTGTTACAAAGGGATTCATGGCTGATTTATGATGAAATCGCCAACCCTGTTACAGTCAACCCTGTTACTTTATTTGGCACCTAATAGGCACTTACTATTGTGATTTTTTTTTATATAACATCTTCAGATGGGAAAACGTGTTTTTCATGATGTTGAACATGTGCTCTTTATGACAGAATGTTAAAAATAGGTGAAATGTAAAGTTTTATTGACCAAGGTACACTTCTCAAAAGGCATCTAGTTGGTGGAACGACCCATTCACATTACTGAAATAAAGACGGACATATGACTGAAATACAGACATGACTGAAATACAAACACATTATTGAGAGATCATGAATGGTGTTGTTTGTTACAGTAACTTCTTGTATCTCCCTGACCATCTCAGTACTCACCCTCTTTGACAGAGATGAAGGAGAAGGCCGCACACAACAACAGAGTCACATCATACATGGCAAGTATCTGTTTATTCCTTTCAGTCTCCGTTGGTGTCTGACTAAAAATACACTGCTCAAAAAAATAAAAGGGAACACTAAAACAACCCAATGTAACTCCAAGTCAATCACACTTCTGTGAAATCAAACTGTCCACTTAGGAAGCAACACTGATTGACAATACATTTCACATGCTGTTGTGCAAATGGAATAGACAACAGGTGGAAATTATAGGCAATTAGCAAGACACCCCCAATAAAGGACTGGATTTGCAGGTGGTGACCACAGACCACTTCTCAGTTCCTATGCTTCCTGGCTGATGTTTTGGTCACTTTTGAATGCTGGCGGTGCTTTCACTCTAGTGGTAGCATGAGACGGAGTCTACAACCCACGCAAGTGGCTCAGGTAGTGCAGCTCATCCAGGATGGCATATCAATGCGAGCTGTGGCAAGAAGGTTTGCTGTGTCTGTCAGCGTAGTGTCCAGAGCATGGAGGCGCTACCAGGAGACAGGCCAGTACATCAGGAGACGTGGAGGAGGCTGTAGGAGGGCAACAACCCAGCAGCAGGACTGCTACCTCCGCCTTTGTGCAAGGAGGAGCAGAAGGAGCACTGCCAGAGCCCTGCAAAATGACCTCCAGCAGGCCACAAATGTGCATGTGTCTGCTCAAACGGTCAGAAACAGACTCCATGAGGGTGGTATGAGGGCCCGACGTCCACAGGTGGGGGTTGTGCTTACAGCCCAACACCGTGCAGGACGTTTGGCATTTGCCAGAGAACACCAAGATTGGCAAATTCGCCACAGGTGCCCTGTGCTCTTCACAGATGAAAGCAGGTTCACACTGAGCACATGTGACAGATGTGACAGAGTCTGGAGACGCCGTGGAGAACGTTCTGCTGCATGCAACATCCTCCAGCATGACCGGTTTGGCGGTGGGTCAGTCATGGTGTGGGGTGGCATTTCTTTGGGGGGCCGCACAGCCCTCCATGTGCTCACCAGAGGTAGCCTGACTGCCATTAGGTACCGAGATGAGATCCTCAGACCCCTTGTGAGACCATATGCTGGTGCGGTTGGCCCTGGGTTCCTCCTAATGCAAGACAATGCTAGACCTCATGTGGCTGGAGTTTGTCAGCAGTTCCTGCAAGAGGAAGACATTGATGCTATGGACTGGCCCGCCCGTTCCCCAGACCTGAATCCAATTGAGCACATCTGGGACATCATGTCTCGCTCCATCCACCAACGCCACGTTGCACCACAGACTGTCCAGGAGTTGGCGGATGCTTTAGTCCAGGTCTGGGAGGAGATCCCTCAGGAGACCATCCGCCACCTCATCAGGAGCATGCCCAGGCGTTGTAGGGAGGCCATACAGGCACGTGGAGGCCACACACACTACTGAGCCTAATTTTGACTTGTTTTAAGGACATTACATCAAAGTTGGATCAGCCTGTAGTGTGGTTTTCCACTTGAATTTTGAGAGTGACTCCAAATCCAGACCTCCATTGGTTGATAAATTTGATTTCCATTGATAATTTTTATGTGATTTTGTTGTCAGAAAAAAGTATTTAATAAGATTATTTCATTCATTCAGATCTAGGATGTGTTATTTTAGTGTTCCCTTTATTTTTTTTGAGCAGTGTATATCTCAACATGCTACTAAGTAGTTATCTTATTTGATGAGTGATTATCCATTAACGAACCACAGCAAACACAAAAGCATGGATTGAACTCAGAACTGGGTGATTACACTTTTAATTTAGGATTCATATAAAATTATTATTCATGTGTTGGTATCTTTATTTTAAGTGTAATATTTTACTTCGAGACTCAAATAGCCTATGATATTTAGAAATGGTTGCATCCTCTACCGAGTCAGTAATAAAGGGGGCAACTATGAATGGAAAGCAGAAATGTGGTTGTAAAATGAAAACAACAATTATTTTAACCCAGTTCCACTACTCCAGGGTCCCAACTTCACCCCAAGTTAGGGCCATGTTGCCAATACACTGTATAATTAGTAAATTACTCAATTTGTGCTTGCCATTGGTTGTGTGTGAGAAACATTTTAGGAGATTAGATGATCATTATGCATATTATAGAGAATTTACTCTGAGTGCCCCCAAACCTCACTCCACCCCACCCCCTCCTGCCTCAGAGCTCAGTCCTCTCAGCTGACTCGGCTTTGTGGAACACTGTGAAGGGAGATCTAGGCGTCTTTTATAACAAATTACTCACCCTCAACAAAACAAGAACAGACTGCACATCTACCTAGCTCACACACACAGACACACCATGACTTAATAAAGTGATGGAAGGAGAAGCGGACTATAAACACTTGGGGCACTTTCACTGGATTTTAAACCTCAAATTGGTGGACTAAATATTTTGTTCTTGTGGGATTTTTTACATTGTGGATGTATATAGAAATATATATTTTTTGGGTATTCGTAACAAAATTATGAATCAATCTCTCTGGGAAGATACAGGCTTCTTTTATCTGTCACATTGAGATGTTCTGCTGAAACGATCCAAAGTGACCTTTTCACCTTTCACATTCCAACAAACATGTTGTAAGTGTGCTCTTAAAAACAACAACACAAGACTACATTGGCGTGGGTATTAGGATGTGGATGCTCAATGTTTCCCTGGAAGACTGAAACTGAACTTTAACCAAAGATGACGGACCTCACCGAAGTATCTGTTTACTCAGAATCCTCTGACATTTACAAGGTGAGGACAGTGACAGCTTGTGTGTGCCTGGAATTCTGGTTCCACTTTTTGATATCAACCTTGTATTTCATGGTGGGAAGTTACTTGGCGTTCCATGTTATACCAATTGTCTTTGCTTTTCCCAGAATGTTTTCTGCAACCCCGCGTTTGAGCTTGATGGTGAGCGTGAGGAGAAAGTGGAAGGACTCAGTTCTGCCAGTACTGCCTTGGCCGTAGAGCCAGTAAAGAGCCCAGCAGCAAGCAGTGAGTCTGACAACCTAGTTTCCCTGTTCCATAACATCATATACAGTGGGGAGAACAAGTATTTGATACACTGCCGATTTTGCAGGTTTTCTTACTTACAAAGCATGTAGAGGTCTGTAATTTTTTATCATAGGTACACTTCAACTGTGAGAGACGGAATCTAAAACAAAAATCCAGAAAAATCACATTGTATGATTTTTAAGTATTTAATTTGCATTTTATTGCATGACATAAGTATTTGATACATCAGAAAAGCAGAACTTAATATTTGGTACAGAAACCTTTGTTTGCAATTACCAAGATCATACGTTTCCTGTAGGTCTTGACTAGGTTTGCACACACTGCAGCAGGGATTTTGGCCCACTCCTCCATACAGACCTTCTCCAGATCCTTCAGGTTTCGGGGCTGTCGCTGGGCAATACGGACTTTCAGCTCCCTCCAAAGATTTTCTATTGGGTTCAGGTCTGGAGACTGGCTAGGCCACTCCAGGACCTTGAAATGCTTCTTACGGAGCCACTCCTTAGTTGTCCTGGCTGTGTGTTTTGGGTCGTTGTCATGCTGGAAGACCCAGCCACGACCCATCTTCAATGCTCTTACTGAGGGAAGGAGATTGTTGGCCAAGATCTCGCGATACATGGCCCCATCCATCCTCCCCTCAATACGGTGCAGTCGTCCTGTCCCCTTTGCAGAAAAGCATCCCCAAAGAATGATGTTTCCACCTCCATGCTTCACGGTTGGGATGGTGTTCTTGGGGTTGTACTCATCCTTCTTCTTCCTCCAAACACGGCGAGTGGAGTTTAGACCAAAAAGCTATATTTTTGTCTCATCAGACCACATGACCTTCTCCCATTCCTCCTCTGGATCATCCAGATGGTCATTGGCAAACTTCAGATGGGCCTGGACATGCGCTGGCTTGAGCAGGGGGACTTTGCGTGCGCAGCAGGATTTTAATCCATGACGGCGTAGTGTGTTACTAATGGTTTTCTTTGAGACTGTGGTCCCAGCTCTCTTCAGGTCATTGACCAGGTCCTGCCGTGTAGTTCTGGGCTGATCCCTCACCTTCCTCATGATCATTGATGCCCCACGAGGTGAGATCTTGCGTGGAGCCCCAGACCGAGGGTGACCGTCATCTTGAACTTCTTCCATTTTCTAATTATTGCGCCAACAGTTGTTGCCTTCTCACCAAGCTGCTTGCCTATTGTCCTGTAGCCCATCCCAGCCTTGTGCAGGTCTACAATTTTATCCCTGATGTCCTTACACAGCTCTCTGGTCTTGGCCATTGTGGAGAGGTTGGAGTCTGTTTGATTGAGTGTGTGGACAGGTGTCTTTTATACAGGTAACGAGTTCAAACAGGTGCAGTTAATACAGGTAATGAGTGGAGAAGAGGAGGGTTTCTTAAAGAAAAACTAACAGGTCTGTGAGACCCGGAATTATTTTCTGGTTGGTAGGTGATCAAATACTTATGTCATGCAATAAAATGCAAATTATTACTTAAAAATCATACAATGTGATTTTCTGGATTTTTGTTTTAGATTCCGTCTCTCACAGTTGAAGTGTACCTATGATAAAAATTACAGACCTCTTTATGCTTTGTGAGTAGGAAAACCTGCAAAATCGGCAGTGTATCAAATACTTGTTCTCCCCACTGTAACACCGGAGTTGGATATGCAATAGGATTGGTTGTTTCCAAATGCCAAGACCTTTTCAATTGGACCTAGTTGTTGTCTTACACCATTGGAAAGTGGAAACAAAGATTCTTGGAGGGTCTCCTCAACCACCCATGTCTTTCCACCCATCTTCCTCCCTGTGTGTGTGTGCACGTGTTGGTTTGCGTATGTGTGTATGTGTATGTGTCCCAGCCCGAGGTGTGTTCAGTGTGTGTGTGATGCGTCTGTGGGGTCCGTTGTGTAGCTGGGGGGCCGTGGTGGTCTCTGTTGCTGCTGTGCTCCTGGTAGCAGCCCTGGGCCTGGCACTGGTGCTCATCTTCACACGTGAGTGACGGGGGTGACAGTGGGAGGAGTGGGCCAACACAGAAACTATAAATCCATGTAATTCTATGGGTGGAACAGTGGGACCTCTGATCCTCAACAGGAAGTGTTCACAGAGCATGGTGTACATACATGGTATACATACATTTCACTAATCTCTCAAAAAAGCATGAAGAACCCTAATTTAAAAAATCTCATTCTCATAGACACCTACATAATTATGTCCTTATTTAAACTAACATTGCCAATTCATACACTTTATGGTCCCTTGAGCATCGAATAGCATTGCAGTACTTCTGCACATCACAAGCTTGTGTCATTCACTAATGTCCTCTTACTCTATCTCTCACTGTGTTCTTCACCCCACAGAACTAAAGGGGCAGAGTGTGGATGGGGAAGTGGTGTCGACCAATCCCCTGGACTTGTTGACTGGAGATGGACTGCCTCGTGGTCTACCCACAACCCCCACCAACCACAGTCAGAGGGACAGTACAGTGGCCCCACAGCCAGCCAGATACCCTACCCCTGAATCTAGTGGGTATTTTCCTACTACAGTTGTATCCATAGAAATAGAATAAGTAGTTATATTCCAATGATTGTACCTTACAGATACGTACTTACCTACAGATATACGTACAATACAATAATAATACTGTAATACACTACCCTGTACTTTTCTCACTGTCTGTCTGTCTGTCTGTCTGTCTGTCTGTCTGTCTGTCTGTCTGTCTGTCTCAGGATGTGGGGGCGTATTGACAGACTCAGAGGGCAGCTTTAGCTCCCCCAACCATCCTGGGTCGTATCCCCCAGACTCTCTGTGTGTCTGGGTGATCCGGGCGCGCCCTCCATCCCTGGTCCAGATCCATGTGTCCTCTCTGACCATAGAAGGACCGTCCCCCTGCCTCTTTGACTGGCTGGAGGTTCAGGAGGAGACGGAGCAACCTTCTGTTGTCACCAGGTGGGTCAATCGTACTGTATCTAAACCTGTTCGAGGTAGAAGATGCCTCTAATCACAGATCTAGGATCAGATTAACCTATGCTGAAGGGGATGTAACATATAGTGACTATGGGCACATTTTACATACTGATGAGTTTCAGAAGAAAGTTATTTGTTTCTGGCCATTTTGAGCCTGTAATCGAACCCACAATTGCTGATGCTCCAGATACTCAACTAGTCTCATGAAGGCCAGTTTTATTGCTTCTTTAGTCAGCACAACAGTTTTCAGCTGTGCTAACATAATTGCAAAAGGGTTTTCTAATGATCAATTAGCCTTTTAAAATGATAAACTTGGATAAGCAAACACAACGTGCCATTGGAACACAGGACTGATGGTTGCTGACAATGGGCCTCTGTACGCCTATGTAGATATTCCATTAAAAATCAGCCGTTTCCAGCTACAATAGCCATTTACAACATTAACAATGTCTACACTGTATTTCTGATCAATTTGATGTTATTTTAATGAACAAAAAAAATATTTTTTTTCGAAAACTTTTTTTTCGAAAACAAGGACATTTCTAAGTGACCCCAGACTTTTGAACGGTAGTGTACTTCTGAACCTACTAGTGCATGGCAGCCTCTTGAAAAAGCATACTCTTCATGACACATTGTGGCAGCTAGGTGGCATACAAGTTCTGTATAGATAGCAACTCTGCATACTTTCTGGCCCTGATGGTTTGCGGTTCTGCTGTTCAGGGATTTTAGGTGAAGAATAAAGACACATTATGATTGCCTTTTGGGGCTGACATTTTAAAACGTTTATCTCCACCCTAGGTTCTGTGGCAACGTGGCACCCCCTACTGTGAACACCAACAGCAGCACTGTGTGGGTGACCTTCCGCTCTGACGGGAGCATCGGAGGCAGTGGCTTCACCGCCCAGTACCACACCATCACATCTGAACAGAGTGAGTACTGGGCCAGAGGTACAATCAACAGATACACTGAATTGATCTTTGCTTTAGGAAACATGTATTTTCACAGTACATTAACACATAACATCAGCAATGTGTGTGTGTACGTCTGTTCTCAGAGAGCTGCTCCAGGGAGGAGTTTATGTGTGACCACGGGCGCTGCATCCTGCCTGTGTCAGTGTGTGACAGTCAGCCCAACTGTCATGACCACTCTGATGAGGCCAACTGCAGCCACAAGCACAAAGGTAAGAACAGGGTGTACAGCACAGTACACACTCATCATCATAGTGACTTAACTGAATACATACAGCAGCTACAAGAAAAAGAATGCCTGCATGTAAAATGGTAGTCTCACGATGCCATCCTCCTAAGTCTCGCTCATCAATTGGAAAAAGTCGTGAGGAAGCCTGGTAATCAATTTTAGTAAAAGGGCAATCGTTTGCTTATCTATACGAAACTAATTATCATTGTTTTTTGCTATGTTGCTGAACAGAGTGTGGGGGCCAAAAGACTGGACCCTACGGCTACCTGGCGAGTCCAAACCACCCAAAGCCTTACCCTCATCAACAGGTACCTACCTACACCTGATCAAGAAAACCATCATCAACATCACCAACATGCATCGTATCTAATTGACATACCCAGCCATTTACCCAGAATATATCAAATCCTACCATGATAATTAATGTTTAATTTCCTCTTATCTCTCCGTTAGTTGTGCACATGGCGTATCTCTGTCGAGGAGGGTCATGTGATCAGACTGAGTTTCCGTAACTTCAGTCTGGAGACTCAGGACGTGTGTGAGTTTGACTATGTGGAGGTGCATGACAGTGCTGATACCGGGGCCAGCAGAGTACTCGGACGGTAAGACTTATTATGTTAGCTTCACAATGTGTTTTTTTTCATACACTACCAATACATTAGGTCAGAAGGGGACAAAAAAGAATGCTCGAAGTAAGTCCATCCAGTCAAATTAAATTGTCTAAAACAAGCATAGGTGTTGTATGACAATATATGACAAATATACAGTACCAGTCAAAAGTTTGGACACACCTACTCATTCAAGGGTTGTTCTTAATTTTTACTATTTTCTACATTGTAGAATAATAGTGAAGACATCAAAACTATGAAATAACACATATGGAATCATGTAGTAACCAAAAAAGTGTTAAACAAATTTAGATTTTAGATTCTTCAAAGTAGCCACCCTTTGCCTTGATGACAGCTTTGCACACTCTTGGCATTCTCTCAACCAGCTTCATGAGGAATGCTTTTCCAACAGTCTTGAAGGAGTTCCCACATATACTGAGCACTTGTTGGCTGCTTTTCCTTCACGCTGCGGTCCAACTCATCCCAAACCATCTCAATTGGGTTGAGGTCGGGTGATTGTGGAGGCCAAGTCATCTGAGGCAGCACTCCATCACTCTCCTTCCTGGTCAAATAGCCCTTACACAGCATGGAGGTCTGTTTTGGGTCATTGTCCTGTTGAAAAACAAATGATAGTCCCACTAAGCGCAAACTAGATGGGATGGCGTATCGCTGCAGAATGCTGTGGTAGCCATGCTGGTTAAGTGTACCTTGAATTCTAAATAAATCACCAACAGTGTCACCAGCAAAGCACCCCCACACCATCACACCTCCTACTCCATCCTTCACGGTGGGAACCCCACATGCGGAGATCATCCATTCACATACTCTGCGTTTCACAAAGACACGGCGGTTGGAACCAGAAATCTCAAATTTGAACTCATCAGACCAAAGGACAGATTTCCATCGGTCTAATGTCCATTGCTCGTGATTCTTAGCCCAAGCAAGTCTCTTATTCTTATTGGTGTTCTTTAGTTGTGGTTTCTTTGCAGCAATTCGACCTTGAAGGCCTGATTCAAGCAGTCTCCTCTGAACAGTTGATGTTGAGATGTGTGTTACTTGAACTCTGTGAAGCATTTATTTGGGCTGCAATCTGAGGTGCAGTTAACTCTAATTAACTTATCTTCTGCAGCAGAGGTAACTCTGGGTCTTCCATTCCTGTGGCGGTCCTCATGAGAGCCAGTTTCATCATAGCGCTTGATGGTTTTTGCGACTGCACTTGAATAAACTTTCAAAGTTCTTGACATTTTCCGGATTGACTGAACTTCATGTCTTAAAGTAATGATGGACTGTCGTTTCTCTTTGCTTATTTGAGCTGTTCTTGCCATAATATGGACTTGGTCTTTTACCAAATAGAGCTATCTTCTGTATACCACCCCTACCTTGTCACAACACAACTGATTGGCTCAAACACATTAAGAAGGAAATACATTTCACAAATTAACTTTTAACAAGGCACACCTGTTAATTGAAATGCATTCCACCTCATGAAGTTGGTTGAGAGAATGCCAAGAGTGTGCAAAGCTGTCATCAAGGCAAAGGGTGGCTACTTTGAAGAACCTGAAATATAAAATATATTTTGATTTGTTTAACACTTTGTTGGTTACTACATGATTCCATATGTGTTATTTCATAGTTTTGATGTCTTCACTATATTATTCTACAATGTAGAAAATAGTAAAAAATCAAGAAAAACCCTTGAATGAGTAGGTGTGTCCAAACTTTTGACTGATACAGTATGTGTACCATAAAACATTCACAACAGTAACAGCACTCTTCCTTGATAAGACGGTGTACTGTAGCCTGTAGTAGCCTAGCCTGTGGTGGGGACTCCTATGGTTGTAAAACAGAACATGGTCACAAACAGATCTGGGACCAGGCTAATTGTACCCTACTGTACCACATTCTGTAACACAGTACAACTGTTACTGTACCTACTGTACCACAGCCAGCTCTAGTGTTCCTTCTCTATCCTGTCCCAGGTACTGTGGCACCAGCCTGCCTCCTGAGCTGACCTCCTCTGGGCCTCAGATAACCGTGTTGTTTGTCGCTGACGAGGGCGTGGCAGACAGTGGCTTCAACGCCTCCTACCAGGCCATCTCCCTCACCGAGAGTGAGTCAACCCTCCCCCCACCACACACAGGGGTAGTGTTCAGTAGGACAAACTGTAGCAAAAAGTTTAGCAACAATAAACAAAACTCCGGTTTTATTGGACAAGATCAGGTAGTACCTTCCCATTTCACTCTGTTTCAAAACGTTTCCTCCTTACAGAACACGACTCAGATCGGTCTCCCTGTATCTAGTCTGTTATGGCTCTTGTAAACGTAGAAAATAAGGCAATTTATTAAAACATCTAACAGTGGTTTAGTTAAAGGATTTACACTGGAAATATGAGGAGTGGATCACCTGTTTCCTTGTTTGTGACAGGAACATGCAGTCCTCCTCAGTTTGCCTGCAGCAGTGGGGAGTGCCTGCACCAGGAGTGGCTGTGTGACGGCTGGACTGACTGTGCAGACGGGACAGATGAGCACGACTGTGACAACTCAACATATCCCCCTTTCAGTGAGCCAACAATACAAAACACACACACATCATATTTGTATGATTCCTACAGCAGTAACACAACTGCTAAGCTTTCAAGTAGAATGACTCCATTAGGACAGACTAGTAACCTTTTCTGTGTCTGTATCATACCTCTCCCCCAGGCTCGTCCTGTGAGCCCATCGAGGTGGAGATGTGTCAGGGCCTGAGCTACAACCTCACCTCCTTCCCCAACATTTGGCTGTCCATTGCTGACCAGAGAGAGGCAGCCACACTGCTCCGCCAGTACATGGTGAGACCACACTTGGCCTGTCAACACACAACCACACAGAACAATATCACATTTTCTTTAATGGATTTTTAGTTAACATGAACATTATCTGTAACATAATATAGGTGCATAGCAGTGGAGGCTGCTGAGGGGAGGATGACTCATAATAATGGCCGGAATGGAATGGTATCAAACACATGGGTTTCATGTGTTTGATACCATTCCATTCCAGCCATTATTATGAGCCATATATGGGACGTGCAGACCCCCTTAAGTGTTTGATTCTGATGGAGGTAGATAATGTACAGCCGCTCTCTAACTCTCTCCCATGTGGTTTGTGGTTATTACTAGGTGCTGATGGAGCTGGCATGTTTCCAGCCCCTGCGCAAGCTGGTGTGTGGGATGTTCATGCCCCACTGCAGCCCTCAGGGTGGGGTGCTGCAGCCCTGCCGGTCAGTGTGCTCCTGGGCAGAGCAGCAGTGTAGTCAGGCCCTGGATGTCTTCACCTTCAGCTGGCCCTTCAACTGCCACCTGCTGCCTGACTCCCAAGACCCTATGGAGTGCTCCAGCCCCTGAAGTATAGCACCTGCCCCCTGAATTTGCTACAGTACAACCATAGTAATGAGATGAAGCCAACACAGGACTTTAAGAACTCTTAAAAATACCATCAAAGCTCCAATCTTTTCAAGGAACCTTGCAGTCGCTCTTAGGCACTGTACATCATCATCATCTAAGGACCTTTACATGCAATAAAGAATCAATGTTGCACTCTGCAGATTCAATATGGTGCTAGCCTTGTACAGCATTATACAGATGTATGGAACAGAACTGGTTGGAGTTTACATGGGAATAGAAAATAAATGTACATATTAACGAAAACAATACTGATTTTGACATACTGTAGCTTGATGTTTTGCAAATGTATGTGATTGAACCATGCATTTTTTGTGTAATTAATTTGACTGAATTAAGGTCCCATTCAACAACCAGAGACAATACCTGTACGTTGTACATCAAATGCTATTTTTTTGGCACTATATTTATTTCTGTCTGCATGTCATATAAAATAATAACATTTTTAAAAAGGATAGAATCGTAAAACATTTTTATTGCATTTTCTGACACACCGAAACATGGTGCCTTACCTTCATAAGGTTAGTGAATGAATGAACTGTCGAGATTTAACCTTTCCAGGGAGAACTGCAGATGAATATGTCAGTATGACAAAATACAGTGACATTACAATCCAAAGTGGCTTTGACATGGAAGGTGATTGTTCCTTACATGACCCTACCTGATATACAGTGGGGGGGGGAAGTATTTAGTCAGCCACCAATTGTGCAAGTTCTCCCACTTAAAAAGATGAGAGGCCTGTAATTTTCATCATAGGTACACGTCAACTATGACAGACAAAATGAGAAAAAAAAAATCCAGAAAATCACATTGTAGGATTTTTTATGTATTTATTTGCAAATTATGGTGGAAAATAAGTATTTGGTCAATAACAAAAGTTTCTCAATACTTTGTTATATACCCTTTGTTGGCAATGACACAGGTCAAACGTTTTCTGTAAGTCTTCACAAGGTTTTCACACACTGTTGCTGGTATTTTGTGAAGAGGGCACGACAAAGCCTATTCCCCCTCAGGAGACTAAAAAGATTTGGCATGGGTCCTCAGATCCTCAAAAAATTCTACAGCTGCACCATCGAGAGCATCCTGACTGGTTGCATCACCGCCTGGTATGGCAACTGCTTGGCCTCTGACCGCAAGGCACTACAGAGGGTAGTGCGTACGGCCCAGTACATCACAGGGGCAAAGCTCCCTGCCATCCAGGACCTCTATACCAGGCGGTGTCAGAGGAAGGCCCTCAAAATTGTCAAAGACTCCAGTCACCCTAGTCATAGACTGTTCTCTCTGCTACCGCACGGCAAGCGGTACCGGAGTGCCAAGTCTAGGTCCAAAAGACTTCTCAACAGCTTCTACCCCCAAGCCATAAGACTCCTGAACAGCTAATCATGGCTACCCGGACTATTTGCACTGCCCCCCCACCCCATACTTTTTACGCTGCTGCTACTCTGTTAAGTATTTATGCATAGTCACTTTAACTCTACCCACATGTACATATTACCTCAACTACCTCAACTAGCCGGTGCCCCCGCACATTGACTATGCAACGGTAGCCCCCTGTATATATAGCCTCCCTACTGTCACTTTATTCTATTGTATATATAGCCTCCCTACTGTCACTTTATATTTACTTCTGCTCTTTTTTTTCTCAACACTTTTTTGTTGTTGTTATATTCTTACTTTTTTTGTTTAAAATAAATGCACTGTTGGTTAAGGGCTGTAAGTAAGCATTTCACTGTAATGTCTGCACCTGTTGTATTCGGCGCATGTGACCAATAAAATTTGATTTGATTTGATTTGATTTGATTTTGGCCCATTCCTCCATGCAGATCTCCTCTAGAGCAGTGATGTTTTGGGGCTGTCGCTGGGCAACACAGACTTTCAACTCCCTCCAAAGATTTTCTATGGGGTTGAGATCTGGAGACTGGCTAGGCCACTCCAGGACCTTGAAATGCTTCTTACGAAGCCACTCCTTCGTTGCCCGGGCGGTGTGTTTGGGATCATTGTCATGCTGAAAGACCCAGCCACGTTTCATCTTCAATGCCCTTGCTGATGGAAGGAGGTTTTCACTCAAAATCTCACGATACATGGCCCCATTCATGCTTTCCTTTTGACCCCACAGGGTGAGATCTTGCGTGGAGCCCCAGATCGAGGGAGATTATCAGTGGTCTTGTATGTCTTCCATTTCCTAATAATTGCTCCCACAGTTGATTTCTTCAAACCAAGCTGCTTACCTATTGCAGATTCAGTCTTCCCAGCCTGGTGCAGGTCTACAATTTTGTTTCTGGTGTCCTTTGACAGCTCTTTGGTCTTGGCCATAGTGGAGTTTGGAGTGTGACTGTTTGAGGTTGTGGACAGGTGTCTTTTATACTGATAACAAGTTCAAACAGGTGCCATTAATACAGGTAACGAGTGGAGGACAGAGGAGCCTCTTAAAGAAGAAGTTACAGGTCTATGAGAGCCAAAATCTTGTTTGTAGGTGACCAAATACTTGTTTTCCACCATAATTTGCAAATAAATTCATTAAAAATCCTACAATGTGATTTTCTGGATTTTTTTTCCTCAATTTGTCTGTCATAGTTGACGTGTACCTATGATGAAAATTACAGGCCTCTCATCTTTTTAAGTGGGAGAACTTGCACAATTGGTGGCTGACTAAATACTTTTTTTCCCCACTGTATAAATATATATATCTATTAAATATATCAATTCTGACATGTATGCTTATTAGGGATACATTGACTGTAAGAAGTCCTCAATTGATACATGAGCCCCATTATTTGTTTCATATGTGAAATTGATCATTCAAATTATTCCGTAATCACACATACACTATGCTTTACAAAAAACAGTAGTGATGGCTGGCATGATTGGTGAAGTCTGGCATGATTGGTTGTCATGGCGGAGCGATGAGTTTGAGTGTGTGTTCGACGGCCACGGCAGTGAGGCCCCACACGCGGTGCTTCCCGTTGCGGAACACGGGCAGGGTGTATCCGTAGCGCTCACCGGTACGGAAGTGGGTGTATCCCCGATTCTGGGGACTGCATACGTGGGAGAGCGACAGGGTGAAGATCTCTTCTACCTGAGAGAGAAAGGAGAATGTCATTTTAACTCCATGTTAGGTGGTATTCGTGTTAGTTCAGCCCAAACGCAAACAGAGTGATTGTAACGTTTGCAAACTGAGTTCTTGTAACTGTACCTCGGCAGGATTTGGCTTGAACGACAGCGCCTCCAGGTGGCCGAGGTTGGCCAGTACAGGGGCTATCATCATTCCAGACTGAGAGAAAATGTGCCATGATTAGGAAAAGCAGCAGATCAACAATTTACATAATGAAGACATACTCATATTAAGAAATGTTTCACTGAAATAATATTACCCCATTTCAACTGATCAAGAGCAGAGGGGAGCTCCTAGCTGTGAGATGGATGGGGATCATGAAGGATTATGGGTAGGGTTAAGGGTCTCACCATATCCCTGAGTGGTTTCAGCACGCCCCACACTTGGTTTGTTGCCACAGTGATGCCCAGTTCCTCACGAGCTTCTCTCAGGGCGGTGTCCACAACGTCCTTGTCCGAAGGGTCACGCTTGCCCCCTGCAAAACTGGACATTCACACAGCACTTTGTCAATTTCCAGCTTTCTATACATTTACATTTGAGTCATTTAGCAGACGCTCTTATCCAGAGCAACTTGAGTGCATACATTTTTTTTTTTTCATACAACTTCATACATTCATTTACATGACAATGTTTTTCTCAAATCACACTAACAAAGTTGTCATTTTCAGAGTTGTTAAGTTCAAAGCAGTGGGAATGGTGCAGGAGTCTGTGGTTACCTGACGTCGCCCTTGTGTCTGCCCTTCAGTGCTGTGGATCTGAGGGTGAAGAGAAAGGCGGGCTCTCCCTCCACGGAGCAAAGAGAGACCAGCACGGACGCCCACTTCCCCTCGGCCTCACTGGCCCCCCTCTTCCCCCGGACGTCCTTCTCATACAGAGCCACATTAGGCCCCAGGCTCTGCCGGCAGCGCGCCTCATTCACCAGCGAAAGGCACTCCCTCAAGGCACTCTCAGGGCAGGAGGCAGCAGTCTGGTGCAGGCCACGGCTCTGGAGTGAAAGGCTTCGCTGGGAATCCACAGTCCACTGTATTGGTGTGTACACAAGCAGTCTATGAAAAAGGTCAATCTTGCCACTTCGAACAGGACTGTAACTATTCCTTTTAACACTGAATGTGACGTTGACCGTCACCTCAGCAGATAAACATTGGCTACCATTGTCAGTTTGCCTCCTTTGTAGAAGGCACTTGAGGTCGCTAGAACATTCGGGGGCTTTAGAATTGTCCAAATGTTCCAATAGAGTGGTTTTCCAAGGGTCACATGATACTAACACCGGCAGTCGTGGTGTACGTTTCAAAGAGACAAAGCTAGAGTCCTGAGACAATTGAGGCCGGTTGGGAGGGGTGTCTTTTTTTAAGGGGTGTTGAGGTGCAGTGTTTAGGAGACAGCTTTCATAACCGGAGGTGCCTCTGCTAACAAGGTGTGAAGAGATGGCTGAAGAGAGGGATACTGCCTCCTCCCCTCCACCCCCCTGACAGAGACTTCTCCCTGCTTTGGGTCCAGTCCACCTCTGACAGGCATGCTCAGGTAGGGCAGGCACTCGGGGGTCTCTGACTGACAACAGCAGGGTCCTGACAGGGCATGTCAAGGCCAGAATCTGTGGACTCCTGAACATTCTTGAAAACAGAGACGAGACAAAATAATAATTTACTTTGCTCCACTAAACAAGGCTCAATGGTTATGTTAATAAAAAAGTAAGCCTATTTTGACATGAGTACAGTACAAATAAATAGGTTGTCCTCACTCTTCCCTGCAGAAGTGATTCTCAAACCTCTCCTCAGGGACCTCCCGCAGTTCCATGCATTTCCAGAGCTAGTACACCTGATTCAACTTGCCAATTAATCAAGCCCTTAATTAACTTAAGTGAATCAGGTGTGCTAACGTTACTTCAGGGCTACAACACAATTTTGACACATCTGGGGGTCCCCGAGGTGAGGTTTGAGAACAGCTATTCTAGACTACAAAAAAAAAAAAAAAAAAGTAACATAGGTCATTTTCCTGATTGCACATTCTGTAGCTAACATTGTGCAACAACGCAGCAAATTCAAGTTGCTGTCAGCAAGCAAGCTAGCTAACGTTAGCTACTAGCCCAATGCAAACTCAATCTGGCAAATGGCTAGCTAGTTTTACAACCAACACTATTCAACGTTACGTTAAATCTCTTAGTCAGCTACTTTCAAAATTGTTTAAAGTTGACGTTAGCTATTACCAAAGTTGTCAAACAAATCCGATTCGGGTCATTGGTGGCTAGCTGGCTATAGCTAACGTTGCAGTTGTTGTGGCTAGCTAGTTAGGCAATGTTACCAAGCTGTCAAAAACATTTTGCTAGCCGGTTAGCAAATGCTAGCAGGTTTTAGCATTCAACTAGTACGATAAAATACAAAGATAATCACAGTTTACAAGGATCCCAATCTTATTCCTGGTATGGTAAAAACGGAGATTAATGAAACCCCCGGTGCACCTCCCTAAACAACTAAAATAAATATTACATAGTGGTAGACAACTCACCTTGAACATCAACGCTAGCTACTGCGCATGTACCAAATATGTCGCTGAAAAAGCTTAATGGCAATCACTTGCCCTCACAAACTAAACCGATATAACCCATTTAGAGATGTCCTACCACAAATAATGTAAGGCCTGTCAAACCATTAACTATTATACATTTGTGTGAAATTATGATTTTCAAAAGAGAATAGCTAGGAGTTTAATAATGTATTATTTGAAACAGGGCAATTCCAAGGTGACAGAATTTCTGAGACTCCGATTTTTAAAAGTTCTATGCACAATGACAACTTTGAACAATTTACATTGAATATTTCACAAAACAACATTTACTGAAAGAACTGGTCAGATGCCAAGTTTGGTAACAGAATTTCTGTAAAATCTCCCTCAGTTTTTTTATTATGTGACCACGTTTTCTAAAAACTCTTAACCCATTTGTTCCCAATTATTTTTCCAGACTTGCCAATTTTATGCCGTTAGTATGTCATAATCCTAATTGTTTTTATACGTGTGTATACACAAAAGTATGTGGTCACCCCTTAAAATTAGTGGATTCGGCTATTTCAGCCACACCCGTTGCTGACAGGTGTATACAATCGAGCACACAGCCATGCAATCTCCATAGACAAACATTGGCAGAAGAATGGCCATACTGAAGAGCTCAGTGACTTTCAACGTGGCACAGTCCATAGGATGTACTGTAGAGCTGTGTGCTCGAGGATTTTCAATTTGTCAGCGCTAATGGTGGGAGGCTTTGGTGGCTCAGACCCCATAACGGGTGGAGGAGAGACCTGAGAATGATTGGGCTCTGACTCCGACTCGGTGCTTAGTGGTGAAAACCGGACGAAAGTTTCTATCCGCTGAAAGAGCGACACCGGTTGAGCATGCAGACAGCATTTCTTTCCAGAAGCCGTGAGAAAATTGTTTGGCGGCAGGGACTGTGTAGGGGGATCAACACTACTTGCTGTATTTACTGGTGGCACAGACGCTGAATCATCCTTTCCTTCACTTAAATTACCCTTGCCTAATGATTGCGTCTGAAGCCGGGCTTGCAACTCGGCTATCCCCACCAGAAGGCGATAGTTCTCCTGTACAGTGACTGTAATGAGAAGGCGTAATGTTAACCTTACATCCAGATAAAGCGTCCGGGGTGGAAAAAGTTGAGGACAAAACTAAGATGTTGGTAAACTTGTTACATACAGAATTAGATTAAATAGTTAAGAGTAAAAAACAAACAAGTTTGGCAGGTAGCCAAGTAGCAACAAAAAGTACGGATACAATGTGGAAGTGCGATGCGTCACCAGTCATGTGAACTCGATTAAATGTATCAAAGATGGAATTTTTTCCCGTAATGAGGCCAGTGTCTGAATTAATTGGTTGTGGCCAAGAGGTGGAAGTAGAACCCTTCAGGGATTTGACAGTTTTCCAGAATTTAGCCGGGTTCCCATTACAATCAAAAAGAGCGGTTACATAATCATTCACAATAGTATTGAAGACATCTGCAAAAAGGCTCAAAGCTAAATCAGGTTCAGGGATAGCTGAAATGCAATCAAGGTCACTAAAATGATGAACATGTTTAAAAAAATAAAATAAAAAAAAAGGCTGTTCATTGAAGTTTTTAAAGTTCCTCTTTGTGATGAAACGAGGCTTAGCTTTTTGTATTCTCACATCTCTAACACAAACAACTGGGCAACCATCACTAATGTCTTGGGTGATGACACCAGTATAAACACAATTTCTCTGGTGTATTTGTTAAAATAAGATTAATCAGAGTTGACTTTGAAGGATGTTTAGGGTTGGGCCATGTAGGCTTAGTCACCAGCTGTCTGATGGTTGATATTAATAAGGTTGGTATGACTATAAGATTGCATAGAACTGCACCATTTGGTCTATCCCTATTCATCATTACTTTTCCAAGGTTAGTACCATAGGGCCTGATGCCGCATCCAATGTCAATATGGGGAACTCTGAGTAACCAATGATGGAATGTTATAAACTGACTTTCAGTACATGGACTTTGGTTGCACCCATGTAAGTCAGACACCCTCGAGGCCTTATGTGAGAGGGAGCCCGGGGGGTACTGGCCTGTGGGAGAAACCCCTTGAGCTGGACCCTCCGGAGACAGGTAGAGGATGAAGGAGCAGGAATCTCTGGAAGCAGGTGGGTGAAACTGTTGGTCAGCAGAATGGGATCCCTCAAAGCCATTTCAGCCCCATTCACCAAATACCACTGCCTTGCGCTGGGCTTACGGTGTGTGACGTGCCTCCACTGGGATAACCACGGCATCCACCAGCTCCTCATAAAGCGTCCTTGCTCCTTTATTTTCCAAGGGGGGGGGGGGACTTCATTAGGGAGGGGCCTCTGCAGGGCAGGGCAGGGCAGGGCAGCCCTGGCCAGTCAGTCGTAGAGTGGCGACACTGTGGCACAACGACCAGGCTGGGGAGTAGAAAAGGTATTCGAGTGGGACATAACCAGAATGCGCTGCAGTATTAATTTGCTTACTCTGGATGTGGTCCTCTGTAGCTCAATTGGTAGAGCATGGCGCTTGTAACGCCAGGGTAGTGGGTTCAATCCCCGGGACCACCCATACGTAAAAATGTATGCACACATGACTGTAAGTCGCTTTGGATAAAAGCATCTGCTAAATGGCATATTATTATTATTATATTATTATGTCCAGCTCAGACATATATTCCTCAATAAGCTGACAGTTTCCACATTTGAAATTTGGCCTGTCAATATTATCCTGGAACTGTGCAAAATAGGTGCAACTCATACATGGGATGAAATGATCAACGTAGTCTCTGAGGTGTTAGCCGCCAATCTGGAAAAGTCAGTTAAAATCCACACATGAAATACACTATATGACCAAAGGTATGTGGACACCTGCTCGTCGAACATCTCATTCCAAAATCATGGGCATTAATAGGGAGTTGATCCCCCCCCCCCCTTTGCTGCTATAACAGTCTCCACTCTTCTGTGAAGGCTTTCCACTAGATGTTGGAACATTGCTGCGGGGATGCCACGAGTGTTAGTGAGGTCGGGCACTGATGTTGGACGATTAGGCCTGGCTCTCAGTCGGTGTTCCCATTCATCCCAAAGGTGTTCGATGGGGTTGAAGTCAGGGCTATGTGCAGGCCAGTCAAGTTCTTCCACACCGATCTCCACAAACCATTTCTGTATGGACCTCGCATTATGCATGGGGGCATTGTCATGCTGAACAGGAAAGGGCCTTCCCCTAACTGTTGCCATAAAGTTGGAAGCACAGAATCGTCTAGAATATCATTGTATGCTGTAGCACAGGAACTAAGGGACCTAGACCGAACCATGAAAAACAGCCCCAGACTATTATTCCTCCTCCACCAAACTTTACAGTTGGCACTATGCATGCAGGCAGGTAGCGTTCTCCTGGTATTCGCCAAACCCAGATTTTTCCTTCGGACTTCCAGATGGTGAAGCGTGATTCATCACTCCAGAGAACGCGTTTCCACTGCTCCAGAGTCCAATGGCGGCAAGCTTTACACCATTCCAGCCGACGCTTGGCATTGCGCATGGTGATCTTAGGCTTGTGTGCGGCTGCTCGGCCATGGAAACCCATTTCATGAAGCTCCAGACAAACAGTTATTGTGCTGATGTTGCTTCCAGAGGCAGTTTGGAACTTGGTAGTGAGTGTTGCAATCGAGGACAGACTATTTTTAAGTGCTTCAGCACTCTGCGGTCCCGTTCTGTGAGCTTGTGTGGCCTACTACTTCGCGGCTGAGCTATTGTTGCTCCTAGACATTTCCTTTTCACAATAACCGCACTTACAGTTGACCGGGCCAGCTCTAGCAGGACAGAAATATGACGAACTGACTTGTTGGAAAGGTGGCATCCTATGAAGGTGTTCCGTCAAAAATCAGTGAGCTCTTCAGTATGGCCATTCTACTGCCAATGTTTGTCTACGGGAATTGCATGGCTCTGTGCTCAACTTTATACAGCTGTCAGCAACGGGTGTGGCTGAAATACCCGAATCCACTAATTTGAAGGGGTGTCCACATACTTTTGTGTATATATAGTGTAGGTTGGCAAGGAGTCAGCTAAAAGTCAATCAATCCACACAGTATGATGGTTAGTTATATTGAATCACAGTTTGTAGGATCACCACAGTTATAGGCAGTAAACCAAAACCCAACCACAGACTAGAAAACAGCCAGCACTAGGACCCACACAATCAAGGCACAAAACTTGCCAGCATAACAACTGCAAGGAGAGAGCGGTGACTCACTTAATGCGATTTAAATGCCGGGGCCCATCAAAACAGCAACGCAACGGAGGCTGTGTTACCAGTATGATAGCCAGGAGAGAATCACCTTGGAGGGGATGTAATTTCCAGTACGGGCCAGTGGAAGCCGGGAGGGAGGCAAGCGCTACACCGGGGCCGCGGGAGAGTAAAAAATTGTAGGCTAAACCAAGGGGAGTTCAAGTTCGGCAGTAGTCCAAAAACATCCAAGGCACAATGTCAAGTGGCAGGATAAAAGCAGCAGTAGGCAGGTGTCTGCAGAGTAGGGTGCCCAAATGTTTCAGCAGACCTGTTTTGTATGTCTCCTTAAAAACTCTGTATGCAATATTGTGCTATTGTCCAATATGTTCACAGCCAGATGAAACAAAGCTAAATGGAGACAAAAATCCTAAAAGCTTTTCAGCTACAAAAACTGATCAGAAAAAAATACATGCTTGCCAACCATCTTGAAAAGTGGGTGTTTTAATTGTAAGTCGATGGCAGAGGTAATCTCCTCACAAACAATCTCTTGTATAGTAGTGGCCAGCTCTTTCTGTTGCCTGGTGAGATCGCCATGTTCCCATAGTTGAATTGTGGATGGACAAATTGTAGCTGCTGGAGTGTAATGTGTATATATGCCTTAATTTCTCAAGAAGATGTGTCAATGTAAATAGTCCGGGTGGCCATTTGATTAATTGTTATGCAGTCTTATGGCTTGGGGGTAGAAGCTGTTAAGGAGCCTTTTGGACCTAGACTTGGCGCTCCGGTACCGCTTGCCGTGCGGTAGCAGAGAAACCGTCTATGACTTGGGTGACTGGAGTCTGTTGACTATTTTTTGGGCCTTCCTCTGACACCGCCTAGTATATAGGTCCTGGATGGCAGGAAGCTTGGCCCCAGTGATGTACTGGGCTGTACGCACTACCCTCTGTAGCACCGTACGGCCGGATGCTGAACAGTTGCCATACCCGGCGGTGATGCAACCGGTCAGGATACTCTCGATGGTGCAGCTGTAGAACCTTCTGAGGATATGGGGTTCCCATGCCAAATCTTTTCAGTCTCCTGAGGGGGAAAAGGCGTTGTTGTGCCCTCTTCACGACTTTCTTGGTTTGTTTGGACCATGATAGTTTGTTGGTGATGTGGACACCAAGGAACTTAACTCTCGACCCGCTCCACTACAGCCCCGTTGATGTGAATGGGGGCGTGTTCGGCCCTCCTTTTCCTGTAGTCCACGATCATCTCCTTTGTCTTGCTCACGTTGAGGGAGAGGTTGTTGTCCTGGCACCACACTGCCAGGTCTCTGACCTCCTCCCTATAGGCTGTCTCATCGTTGTCGGTGATCAGGCCTACCACCGTTGTGTCGTCAGCAAACTTAATAATGGTGTTGGAGTCGTGCTTGGCCACGCAGTCGTGGGTGAACAGGGAGTACAGGAGAGGACTAAGCACGCACCCCTGAGGGGCCCCCGTGTTGAGGATCAGCGTGGCAGCATGTTGTTGCCTACCCTTACCACCTGGGGGTGGCCCATCAGGAAGTTCAGGATCCAGTTTCAGAGGGAGGTGGTTAGTCCCAGGGTCCTTAGCTTAGTGATGAGCTTTGTGGGCACTATGGTTTTGAACGCTGAGCTGTAGTCAACAAACAGCATTCTCACATAGGTGTTCCTTTTGTCCAGGTGGGAAAGGGAAGTGTGGAGTGCGATTTAAGATTGCGTCATCTGTGGATCTGTTGGGGTAGTATGCGAATTGGAGTGGGTCTAGGGTTTTCGGGATGATGGTGTTGTTATGAGCCATGACCAGCCATTCAAAGAACTTCATGGCTACTGACATGAGTGCGACGGGCGGTAGTCATTTAGGCAGGTTACCTTTGCTTTCTTGGGCATAGGGACTATGGTGACCTGCTTGAAACATGTAGGTATTACAGACTCGGTCTGGGAGAGGTTGAAAATGGAAGTGAAGACTCTTGCCAGTTGGTCCGTATCCATTGTATTGTTTATCATTGTATTGATAAACTGTATCCATTGTATTGTTTATCATTGTTGATACAACTACATTATTTTGAAGTGTTTATTTATTTTTTACTATTTATATCCACAGAGAAGGTGAACATGTGGTTGTATCAACAATGATAAACAATACAATGGATCCAGAAATGGCTATACTGTGTAAGCTGCTGGTCATTTCCATGTAAAAGGACCCATGAGCACCAACGTGAAAATTGGGGGGGGGGTTGAAAAGTCTACAGTATATATGCCTTAATTTCTCAAGAATATACTCTTAGTTTTCATTTGACACCAAATTTGGTATGCTCCTATTAAATTCACATGTTGGTGGTCATGGGTCCTTTACATGGACCAGCAGCTTACACAGTATAGCCATTTCTGTATCCATTGTATTGTTTATCATTGTTGGTACAATCACATTATTGTGGACACACAGTGTGTTTTTTATAACAATAACTAGGCTATTTATATCCACAAAGAAGGTGAAAATGTGGTTCCTTCTTGGAGAAGGTGAAAAACCTGTCGGTCTACCACTTTGAGATTATTTAAATATCTAGACAACTGAGGCTGGCCTGCAACTACAGTGTTTCTGCCTCATCCATGTGACTCTGACATCAGTCAGAATGATTTGGAAACTCCTCACCGGTCTTACCTGTTTTTCCTGCCTCGACCAAGCCCAGCCCATTTTGGTTTTAACCAGCATGCTATGACATTTCGGAAGCATTGGCAGTCTTACTTACAAAGTGGACCACAATCGTTCAGTCTGCAGGACCTACATTTCCCAGCAGCATGGCCACTGCCGCATGGCCTGAGGAGGAGTTTGTGTGCTCTGTCTGTCTGGAGACGCTACGTGACCCTGCCACGCTGCCCTGTGGTCACACCTACTGCCTGCCCTGCATCCAGGAGCACTGGGACCGGAATGAGGCCAAGGGTCAGTTTAACTGCCCCCAGTGTAGGCAGGTCTTCACCCCACGACCCTCTCTTGCCAAGAGCACAGTGCTCGTGGAGGCCATGGAGAAGCTGAGAATAAAGGGCATCCAGGAGTATCCCTACCTCTCCATCTCGTCTGCCCCACCCTCCATGCCGATCTATCTGGCGGGGTGTGCGGACACAGGCCTTCGCCAAGGGGAGATGTACCCCCAGCTGCCCGTCGTCAGCCCCAGGCTTTGCCCTCAACACCAGCGGCCCCTAGAGCTCTACTGCCATGACGATAAGGAGTGTGTGTGTGACGAGTGTTGTCGTCATGGACACAAGGGCCACCGTGTGGTTAAGCCAGAAGAGGAGAGGAAGGAGAAACGGGTAAAGAACCATGACTGTGTTGTTTTTTCTTGCCACAACTATTTTATTTGATTATAACAGCTTTATTAGAATTTTAGAAAACATTGGGTGCTTGAGAGAATCCTGTGTTTCTGTATACTGTGTCCCTATGTGCAGAGGGAGCTAGTTCCGATGCAGGCCGAGATACAGAGGAGGATCCAAGAGATGGAGAACGAGCTCAAGGAGTTCCCACAAGCTGCCCAGCTCCACAAAGTAAGGAAACCCCACATCAATGGCAAATATGTTGTTAGCCCCCTCTTTCACTTCCTCGTCTCTACCCCTCTATTCATCCCTCCATTTTTGCTTTGCTTCTCTCCATGTCTGTGTCCTCTCTATCTTCTCAGAGGTCAGTCCAGGCCCTACAGAAGGAGGGTGTGGAGCTCTTCTCTGAGCTGGTGAAGAGTGTGGAGCTGATGGGTACCCAGGTCGGGGAGTTGCTTTGTGCCCATGAGGCATCCATGGGCAGTCGAACCGAGGGCCACCTCCACGAGCTGGAGCAGGAGCTGGCCCAGCTCCGCAGGAAAGACCAAGAACTCAGCCGACTGGCCAGAATGCAGGACCACATCTGCTTCTTAAAGGTACAGGGAAAAGATAATGGGATTGAGATGATAACAGTTTAATTCGGACAAGTGTCAATGACCATCCTCACCACCAGGTGTTATTGTCTTCATCTATTGTCCTCCACAGAATTTCTTCACCCTGGAGCCCATCACACAGAATGGGAGCAGAGAGGGGGTAGGGCTGGGTGAGGAGGCCCTTGTGTCTGAGATTCAAGCCGTGATGGGAGAGCTAAGAGATGGACTACAGGAACTCTGTAAATCCAGCATGGCCAAGATCTTCAGAACTGGTGAGTCTATCGGCATTTTCAATGGCCTAAAACATATACAGGGAGATTAGGATCTGTTTTACTATTTTCCCTTTTGATTGTGCTGGTTCTGTTGAGATTGCTCAATGGTTTAGCAGTATATATGGATCTAAATATTACTGAGCCTGTTTTCTTGCTTGTAGTGAATGATGCCAGTCTTAGTCCGTCTCAAATGTTCAGTGGTCAAGCTGCAGGGAACGGAGCATCTACTGACAACAACCAGGTGGCTTCACAAAACGCAGGTAAGCATCTACAAGTCATGTTAAAATAAAAATAAAACACAAAGGTGCGTTTTCTATCAGAATGTTAGTCTTTTCTTTCTTCTCATTCATCTCTGCAGCATCCAAGGTGCCATCAAACCCTCAACTTAACACAGGTTAATGTTTAATTCAGCCTTTGTATGAGAAGATTATCAAGTACATCAACCTTTAATAACAGACTAAAGATGCTTTCCCCTTATTGCATTTTAGTATGTGAAATAACATCAAACCCTTCACCTCTACCTCCACCTATCCAATTAAACTCAACTCCACGATTTACGATGGAGTTGCGCGGCGACTAGTGTTGGCGGACTGGAGTTTACGACGTCACATATAATGACGTTTTTATAAAAACCTACTGATTTCAGCAACCAAAGAATAGCCCGCAATTACACACATTGGTCTGTGTAATTGCGGGCTATTCTTTAGTACTGAAGTCAGTAATTTTTGATAACTTAATTTTATGTGACGTTGGAGCTCCAGTCCGCTCATGCTCAACTCAATCGTAAATCGTTGAGTTTAGTCGGCTACCTCAAGGTAAATGCATTGAGAGTGGTCTGAAAATAGTTCAATACAGTTTCAGAATAACCGTAAAAACAGCTTTCTTATTTTCTCACCTCTATTGATTTGCTTTAGTAAATGAGGTGACATCAACAAACTCTCTACCTCAACCTCCATTACCTCCAACTGGACCTCAAGGTATATGAACAGCGGTCTGAGGATTTTTCAGTGTAGTTCCAAAGTTGGCATTATAATGCCAATAAAATGGTTTATTTTCTCTCACAACATTTAGTGAAACAGGTGACCACTGTTGGTTTGGCAAACCCAGAGCTGAAAACAAGAGAAGAAATGCTCAAATGTGAGTACCTGTTTTACTGCTTTTCACCCTTTAAAGAGATACAGAAATGTAGTCATAAGCAGCATTGAAGCGTCTTCAGACAATTGGACACTTGAACAAAAAAGTGAGTGTGGACTACAAAGGAAGACAATAGCATCGCCTGTCTTTCCTGTCTTTCTCCATGTAGTTCACTTTAATCCGACATTTGACCCCAACACTGCGTACCACCACCTGAAACTGGCTGATGGGGATCGTAAAGCCACTCTGAAGGCAGAGAAGCAGAATCAGCCGGAGCACCCCGACCGTTTCATCTACTGGAGACAGATACTGTGCAGGGAGCCCCTGGCTGGAAGCCCCTACTACTGGGAGACAGAGTGGACGGGCCAGAAGGTGGGTTATTACTGCCATAGAAATATAATTACTAGAAGGGACAAAGCGTCTCAGGCTACGACCACATTTGACTGGAACACTCATGGGTACACAACAGTGGAGGCTGCTGAGGGGAGGACGGCTCCTAATAATGGTTGGAATGGAGTCAATTGAATGGTTATCAACCACATGGAAACCACGTGTTTGATACCATTCCATTGGCTCCATTTCAGCCATTATTATGAGCCGTCCTCCCTTCAGCAGCCTCCACTGGTACACACTCAATATAATTATATTTCTATGGTTGCTCCCTCATCATTAAGATCACGTCAACTTATGTTATGTTCTTGAGATGCCCTTGATTTAAATCTGTCATCAATTGACTAGTATTCACTATTTTGGCTATGAGTATTTTACTTGGTGATGGTTGTTATTGTTTGTCACTCAGATCACTATCGGCGTGGCCTACAGAGACTTGGACAGGAAGGAGGCTGACGACAGCAGCAGGCTGGGCTACAACAAGCAGTCTTGGAGCCTGAACTGGTCTGGGAAGGGCTTTTCCATGTGGCACGCTGGGAAGGAGACCCAGCTAGGCTCAACCAAGGCTCGCAGGCTGGGGGTGTACATGGACCAACATGAAGGAGTACTGGCCTTCTACAGGATCTCCAACAACCAGGCCCATCTCATCCACTCCCTCCAGACAGTCTTTACTGGCCCCCTCTATCCCGGGTTCCGCTTCTGGTCAGGGGTTGGGACGTCTGTGACCCTATGTCAACTGGACTAGGTTGGCATCTGGTAGTTCAGATCCATTCTGGAAGCCATGAGAAGGATGTCAGCAATGACAGTACAGTGCTCAGAGCTCAACAACAGTTTATATAACTGATAGGAAAGTTCCAGTATTAGATGCTGATTTGCTGATAGCGTGTTGCAGCCATATCTCAGCTGCTGTCCTATTACCATGTGCCCTTTTGGCTTGTAAGAATTATATTCAAATGCATGATAAATAAATAAGAAATGAGCATAAACAAAGTTGCTTGAAGTGAATTTGAATTGTTTTCAAAATGCCAGTAGTAACTTCTCTTCTGTTTTGAAATTAGGCCAGGGCCATTTTCAGTTTAACACAAATGAGTTTCAGGCAGCCAGTAAGACTGTGAATGGGACTAGCCCGTTATGTAAATCTGTCCACTTAGCTCGCTTACATAAATTGCTGATAGGCATTTGCCTTATTATATAATAAGATGAACAGTTTATGACAGGAAACTCCTTGATCTCTACATCATAATTGCTGACCTTACTCCAGTCGTTCTGCCTCAGTCTATTCTGATCATCTGCATTATTCCCCATGGCTTTCCATATAGGAAGATCAGCACTGAAATACCTGTCACTCATTGGCCCACTGTTCTTATTTTTCCTGGTTTGAGATAAGATTTGTCCCACCACCCCACAATGCACTGCCATGACAGTGATCTTTTGAGCTTATATTTAGAAATCTTTGTCTAAATCTGTATTGATACATAACTGTTTGGAAGAGACTATCATTGTCCTTATATATTATTGAACACTGCACCATAATTGGCAAGGATGAATACAGTTGCATGCATTTTAAGGAAAAATGACATGCAAATTGTAACATTTGGGGAAGTCACACATACAGTGTTGAAGACATGTCAATCCAGTTCCATCTATACCTACTGGAAAATGGAATTCCAATAACCCAATATCTATTTTTTCTCTTCTCCACCCCTTACTTTATTATCCAGTTTGTTGCTTAGTGTTACATTTATATACATGTAATCACTCACGTGTTTTGACTACCTCATCACATAGAACTTGTAAGTAGATTTGATGGAATAGTTAGTATTATGTTGTATATCAAATCAAAAGTACACTGCTCAAAAAATTAAAGGGAACACTTAAACAACACAATGTAACTCCAAGTCAATCACACTTCTGTGAAATCAAACTGTCCACTTAGGAAGCAACACAGATTGACAATAAATTTCACATGCTGTTGTGCAAATGGAATAGACAACAGGTCGAAATTATAGGCAATTAGCAAGACACCCCCAATAAAGGACTGGTTTTGCAGGTGGTGACCACAGACCACTTCTCAGTTCCTATGCTTCCTGGCTGATGTTTTGGTCACTTTTGAATGCTGGCGGTGCTTTCACTCTAGTGGTAGCATGAGACGGAGTCTACAACCCACACAAGTGGCTTAGGTAGTGCAGCTCATCCAGGATGGCACATCAATGCGAGCTGTGGCAAGAAGGTTTGCTGTGTCTGTCAGCGTAGTGTCCAGAGCATGGAAGCGCTACCAGGAGACAGGCCAGTACATCAGGAGACGTGGAGGAGGCTGTAGGAGGGCAACAACCCAGCAGCAGGACTGCTACCTCCGCCTTTGTGCAAGGAGGAGCAGGAGGAGCACTGCCAGAGCCCTGCAAAATGACCTCCAGCAGGCTACAAATGTGCATGTGTCTGCTCAAACGGTCAGAAACAGACTCCATGAGGGGGGTATGAGGGCCCGACGTCCACAGGTGGGGGTTGTGCTTACAGCCCAACACCGTGCAGGACGTTTGGCATTTGCCAGAGAACACCAAGATTGGCAAATTCGCCACTGGCGCCCTGTGCTCTTCACAGATGAAAGCAGGTTCACACTGAGCACATGTGACAGACGTGACAGAGTCTGGAGACGCCGTGGAGAACGTTCTGCTGCCTGCAGCATCCTCCAGCATGACCGGTTTGGTGGTGGGTCAGTCATGGTGTGGGGTGGCATTTCTTTGGGGGGCCGCACAGCCCTTCATGTGTTCGCCAGAGGTAGCCTGACTGCCATTAGGTACCGAGATGAGATCCTCAGACCCCTTGTGAGACCATATGCTGGTGCGGTTGGCCCTGGGTTCCTCCTAATGCAAGACAATGCTAGACCGCATGTGGCTGGAGTGTGTCAGCAGTTCCTGCAAGAGGAAGGCATTGATGCTATGGACTGGCCCGCCCGTTCCCCAGACCTGAATCCAATTGAGCACATCTGGGACATCATGTCTCGCTCCATCCACCAACGCCAAGTTGCAGCACAGACTGTCCAGGAGTTGGCGGATGCTTTAGTCCAGGTCTGGGAGGAGATCCCTCAGGAGACCATCCGCCACCTCATCAGGAGCATGCCCAGGCGTTGTAGGGAGGTCATACAGGCACGTGGAGGCCACACACACTACTGAGCCTCATTTTGACTTGTTTTAAGGACATTACATCAAAGTTGGATCAGCCTGTAGTGTGGTTTTCCACTTTAATTTTGAGGGTGACTCCAAATCCAGACCTCCATGGGTTGATAAATTTGATTTCCATTGATAATTTTTGTGTGATTTTGTTGTCAGCACATTCAACTATGTAAAGAAAAAAGTATTTAATAAGATTATTTCATTCATACAGATCTAGGATGTGTTATTTTAGTGTTCCCTTTATTTCTTTGAGCAGTGTATATGGATACCTGCTCGTCGAACATCTCATTCCAAAATCATGGGCATTAATATGGAGTTGGTCCCCCGCTTTGCTGCTATAACAGCCTCTATTCTTCTGGGAAGTATTTCCACTAGATATTGGAACATTGCTGCGGGGACTTGCTTCCATTCAGCCATGAGCATTAGTGAAGTCAGGCACTGATGTTGGGCGATTAGGCCTGGCTCGCAGTCTGCGTTCCAATTCATCCCGAAGGTGTTCGATGGGGTTGAGGTCAGGGCTCTGTGTAGGCCAGTCAAGTTCTTCCACACCGAGCCCGACAAACCATTTCTGTATGGACCTCGCTTTGTGCACGGGGGCATTGTCATGCTGAAACAGGAAAGGGCCTCCCCCTAACTGTTGCCACAAAGTTTGAAGCACAGAATTGTCTAGAATGTCATTGCACACTGTAGCGTCAAGATTTCCCTTCACTGGAACTAAGGGGCCTAACCCAAAACATGAAAAACAACACCAGACCATTATTCCTGCCAAACCCAGATTCGTCCGTCGGACTGCCAGATGGTGAAGTGTGATTCATCACTCCAGAGAACGCGTTTCCACTTCTCCAGAGTCCAATGGCGGTGCTTTACATCACTCCAGCCGACGCTTGACATTGTGCATGGTGATCTTAGGCTTGTGTGTGGCTGCTCGGCCATGGAAACCCATTTCATGAAGCTCAGACAAAAAGTTATTGTGCTGACTTTGCTTCCAGAGGCAGTTTTGAACTCAGTAGTGAGTGTTGCAACCGAGGACAGACAATTTTTATGCAATATGTGCTTCAGTCCTCGGCAGTCCCGTTCTGTGAACTTGTGTGGCCTGCCACTTCACGGCTGAGCCGTTGTTGCTCCTAGACGTTTCCACTTCACACTTACAGTTGACCGGGGCAGCTCTAGCAGGGCAGAAATTTGATGAACTGACTTGTTGGAAAGGTGGCATTCTATGACGGTGCCACGTTGAAAGTCACTGAGCTCTTCAGTAAGGCCATTCTACTGTCAATGTTTGTCTATGGAGATTGCATGGCTGTTTGCTCGATTTTATACACCTGTCAGCAACGGGTGTGGCTGAAATAGCCGAATCTGCTAATTTGAAGCGGTGTCCACATACTTTTGTATATATAGTGTACTTTAATCATACACCAAACACCCTGACAACCTACTCCCCTTGCCCTCTGCGCTCCCCTCCCAACATGCTATGCTGGGAATGAGTTCAGTGTTTTTTACCTCTTGCTCATCAGCACACCCACCATCAGTGGCGGCTCCTGAAAAAATTCTCAGGGGGGGCAATTTTTCTGATGATTTAGGTGACCTACACACATTTTAAAAAAGATATGTCCAGCAACAACATGAAGACAGGGGCAGCATATAAGTCAATACCAGAAGCATTTATTGACTGATCTCAAAAGTGTTGGCTTACAAAAGCAAAATAAGTTATCACAGTAAAAATAATCAAGGGTGTTCTTTCACATTCCTCAACACTGCATAAACAATATGCATTTCCATAAAACACCTCATCTAATTGTGCCACAAAGTTGACAAGTCCAAGAAAAATACCAGGGTTGGTGGAGCCCTCAGTTTCATCTTTGCCTCGCAAAGCTAACTCAAACACTCCGCAAAACTTCACACACTGGATTAGCCGGCTGAGGATGTGGCGGTTCTTGCTAACCTCATCGTTGTGGCGGCGGACAGCTAGCCTGTATCCCTCATCCAGTTGAGTGGCAATGTTCACTCTCCCCAAAGCAGACAATCTCAAACAGCTATCCATGTGGGTCTTTGACAGCTCATGTTTCTTAATCTCTTCTGAAAGATGGTGCATGTCCGTTACACCAGTCGCTGTCCAAGCGGTGCTGTCTGCCATGCCGCCTTCAGGGTGAAAGAGTAAGCAGGGGTAGCAGAAGACTGCATTAGCTACATCGCAGCCTGCTAGCCAGGTTTTTCGTTCGTACCAATTTTTGGAAAATCCTCGGGTGTAGGACTTTCCCCCTTTAGTAGAAACCTGTTGAATTATTACATTTGGTCTGGGAGGTCCTAATTGTTTCGTTGCCAATTTATCTTGATTTGTTCGCCGACAAAAAGGAACTTCTTTCAAAGAGACAATCGAGTTGCACTGAACGCTAGCCATCTTGACAGTAGTACGTGAATTGATTGACGCTGCTACCCGCTCTTTTCTTAGTTACGTTCATGGTTATGTTACGTATGACGAAAGCGCGTAAGTGCAAGCCCTCCCGGAACCCATAGAGATTGTATTGAAAGTTCTGATATTTGAAAAAAAAAGATTTTACATGAGAGTCTATGAGAGACTTCTGGGGCGATTTTCAACCTGACTGAAATCGCCCCAAAAGGGGCGGGGCCATTTGAAGCACGACTTTAGCCTGATTGGACATTTAGTGGCAGATCAGACGTCTAGATTAGAACACTGATAACTACTGTTGCCGTGATATAATTGATTAGAAAAAAAATCCCTTCCTTTTCCCGTTTGGTAGTGCGTCGCCCATATCGCCCTAATGAACACACCGCCCCTGCCCACCATGCAAATCCAACACAAACGCCTATCGCCCGTTGCATCAGGAAAGGTTCCCCTGCCGACTACCTGACACTATCTCCATCTTCTATTAACATACACAATGAGCAGGTGGAAGCTGCCTGACACCTGAAAATACAGGTAAAGTGTCGTTGCAGTCATTGGGAACTCCATGGTCCGGGTGACAGACAATACCTGTCCCATATATGCAAGACACAAAGCCTGCCGCAGCCCAGCCCACAGAGGACAGATAGTGGGAGGTGGCGTTTACTCCGAGTTTATAGGCCAAGCGCCTCTCCTGGTGACAGTCTATCCATCCCATCCAGCTGTCTGTGAACATCGACTGCCATCTCCAAGCTGCAAAATGAGAGGTGGGCATCTCTAGGGTTTCCTATATGACAGGGAAGGATACTGAAGATTTAGGCTCCAGAGTGGTTGAATGAGGACAGAGGAGTTAAGCTTTTGGTCTAGAGTAGCCAAGGGGGTGCACAACTCCTGTCCTGGAGGGCAGCAGTCCTCCTGCTTTTTGTAAGGGGAAATGGGCTCCGCTAGGGTACAATTTAAAATATCACTGGAACATGCTGCTAGATCAGGTAGTCTATGAGAGATTCAAGTTACAACGACTATTCCATGGCTCTTACGTTTATACTTTCCCTATTCAAATACAGTCTGTTTGGTTGTGAGTAGTGTTGATTCTCTGCACGCACCATTTGTCTTAGATAGTGTAATAATAATTTGTAAGTCGCTCTGGATAAGAGCGTCTGCTAAATGACGTAAATGTAAATGTAATAGTGTGACGCTGCAGGTGTGTGTCCAGTATATGGAAGAGTGCATACTGTGGTGTAACTGTGTGCTTTAGTCTCCATCACTGTACCTAACATGCTCTCTTCTCCTACAGCTACCGTACTGCTGTGCTTGCTGGGGGCCGCTCTGGCCAATGAATTCAGCTGGAATAGCCCTGGAGAGACAACAAAGGACCCCAAAACAGAGAACTGTAAGGGATAGAGAGAGTAGGAAGGGGTGAAAGGGAGACACTGAACACATTGAGGATGGCAAAGTGCAAGGATAATTGAGAACCACTGTCTAATCCTTTGTCCTGTCTGTGTGTCTGTCCGTCTGTGTATGTGTGTGTGTGTGTCTGTGTCCACACAGTGTGTCTGACGGACCAGGCCTCCTGCGGCTGCTGCCTGATGCAGAAGCAGATGTGGAGGATGGAGCAGTTCTTCAACATGAGTCTGAATGAGCTGCAGAGGGGCCTGGAGAAGGCAAAGGCTGTGCTCAACAACGTCCGTGGTGAGACCACCTGACCGCAACCACTATCAACCACCATCTCCATTACCACCTCAACACTGGCCAATGTATTACATTCTGACTAGAAACCAAATGGCTTGCTGTTATTTTGTCTCATTGTATATTTCATTTCTCTATCTATCTCTTTCTCTCTCGCTCTTTCCATCTACAGCTAGCCGCAGTGCCTTCTCCATGGCCCTGACCAATACACGCCGTTGCGAGGGCCCCTTCCGTGAAGCTAAGACCATCGTCTACCAGCACATCTTCATCAACCTGGGCGAGGGCTACAACAACCGCACTGGCATCTTCACTGTGCCCCGCTCCGGTGTCTACAGCCTGGCCCTGACCGTGTACAGCGACTCGGGCGCCCCCAGTGCCAATCTGGCCGCCTGCGCCATTCTGATGGTGAACGGGCGCCAGGTGGCGGGCTGCAGCGAGCAGAACCAGCAGGACCAGGAGGACAGCACCAGCACGGTGATGGCCGTCCAGCTGCAGGCCGGGGACAAGGTGTTCGTCACCCTGCCCATCGGATGCTTCCTGTGCGACGACCAGAGCCACTACAACACCTTTTCCGGCTTCCTGCTCTATGCCATCGACTAAGTCTAAGCTGAGGCTACCGCACCCCACCACCTTCGCCCTGTCTTTAACTCCTTTGCCCAGTCCTGCTTCTGGAAAGGAACTTGGAGCTGGTCTTCAGGCTCTGTGATGAGAGTTTGATCAGGGGCCAGCTCCTCTAGTGAATGTCAATCAGAACCCCATCCATCCTTCCAGTACCAGAACTAGGCTCCCCCCCAGCCTTGACCATCCCCCCAACAACTTTGGGTTACAACTTCTTACCCAATCAAGTTAACCAATTATGTATTCTGTGATGGGAAAAAAGGCATTTGCATGCGTTTGAGAAGAAATTGAAAATAAACCATGATTATACAACAAGTACTTGGTCTGTGTATATCTTTTATATCTCTCTGTGTTATTGTACTACTGTATTCATACTAATACTAACATTACTTAATGATCTTAAGGGTCCACAAATAGACACAAATATTTCATGTACTGGGATGAGTGAGGTAGAAGCACAGCCTCCACGCAATAAAGATAAATGCCAAATGAGCATTTTCGAAAAGAAGTAATGTTTCCACTTTATTTGGGGAGTCAACCGTAGAGGGTTATATTGCCCCTCTCTCTTTAACCTTTTCCTTGAATGAATCAAATTCATCACTAAAGTGACAATAAGTGCAAACAGGCAACTCAACTCACATTTGTATCGCTATGAATTCAGTGCATCACTCAAGACTAAATTGTCACAAATTGAAATAATACATTATCCTCTTGAGTGACAAGGATTCATTTGACACCACTTTATGTAATCTGATAATATTTTTCAACTTGTTGCTATTAGCTGACCTCCGTACCATACAGTTATGCTCAACAAGTTGTCAGTGATGTACAGGCTAGGGGTGTACAGAGCAGTAAAGTTTAGCCATAAGCATTAATACTGTGGTCAGGTGCCACAAAGAGGGACTTAGGAAAATTACAATTGGCCCAGAACAGGGCAGCATGGCTGGCCCTTAAATGTACACGGAGAGCTAACAGTAACAATATGACTACTTGTATTTGTGAGAAGTATTGACATGTTGAATGCACAAGCTGTCTGTTTAAACTACTAGCACACAGCTCAGACACCCATGCATACCCCACAATAAATGCCAGTAGAGGTCCCTTCACAGTCCCCAAGTCCAGAACAGACTATGGGAGGCACACAGCACTACATAGAACCATGACTACATGGAACTCTATTCCACATCAGGTAACTGATGCAAGCAGTAGAATCAGATTTTTAAAAACAGATACAAATACACCTTATGGGATAGTGGGGACTGTGAAGAGACACACACACACAGGCACAGACGCATACATACACACATGATAACATACGCACTATACACACACGTACACATGGATTTTGTGTTGTGGATATGTGGTAGTAGAGTAGTGGCCTGAGGGCACACACTTAATGTGTTGTGAAATCTGTTGTGAAATGTATAGTAATTTTTTAAAAGTTGTATATAACTGCTTTAATTTTGCTGGACCCCAAAAAGAGTAGCTGCTGCCTTGGCAGCAGCTAATGGGAATCCATAATAAATACAAATACTGTATCTATCTCTGTATCAGTATCTACAGTGCATTCAGAAAGTATTCAGATCCCTTGATTTTTTCCACATTTTGTGAAAATTGATTAAATATGTTTTTTTCTCTCTCTCATCAATCTACACACACCCCATAATGACAAAGCAAAAACAGGATTTTAGAATTTTTTGCACATTTATTAAAAACTAAACAACTAAAATATCACATTTACATAAGTATTCAGACCATTTACTCAGTCCTTTGTTGAAGCACTTTTGGCAGCGATTACAGCCTCAAGTCTTCTTGGGTATGATGCTACAAGCTTGGCACACCTGTATTTGGGGAGTTTCTTCTCTGCAGATCCTCTTAAGCTCTGTCAGGTTGGATGGGGAGCGTCGCTGCACAGCTATTTTCAGGTCTCTCCAGAGATGTTCGATCAGGTTCAAGCCCAGGCTCTGGCTGGGCCACTCAAGGACATTCCGAGACTTGTCCCAAAGCCACTCATGCGTTGTCTTGGCTGTGTGCTTAGGGTCGTTGTCCTGTTGGAAGGTGAACCTTCACCCCAGTCTGAGGTCCTGAGCGCTCTGGAGCAGGTTTTCATCAAGGATCTCTCTGTACTTTGCTCCGTTCATCTTTTCCTCGACCCTGACTAGTCTCCCAGTCCCTGCCGCTGAAAAACATCCCCACAGCATGATGCTGCCACCACCATGCTTCACCGTAGGGATGGTGCCAGGTTTTGCTCAGTTTGGCCGGGCAGCCAGCTATTGGAAGAGTCTTGGTGGTTCCAAACTTCTTCCATTTAAGAATGATGGAGGCCACTGTGTTCTTGGGGACTTTCAATGCTGCAGAAATGTTTTGGTACCCTTCCCCAGATCTGTGCCTCGACATAATCCTGTCTCTGAGCTCTCCGGACAATTCCTTCAACCTCATGGCTTGGTTTTTGCTCTGACATGCACTGTCAGCTGTGGGACCTTATATAGACAGGTGCGTGCCTTTCCAAATCATGTCCAATCAATTGAATTTACCACAGGTGGACTCTAATCAAGTTGTAGAAACATCTCAAGGATGATCAATAGAAACAGGATGCACCTGAGCTCAATATCGAGTCTCATAGCAAAAGGTCTGAATACTTATGTAAATAAGGTATTCATGTTTTTTATTTTTAATACATTTGCAAAAATGTCTAACAACCTGTTTTCGCTTTGTCATTATGGGGTATTGTGTGTAGATTGATGAGGAAAAATGTGTATTTAATCCATTTTAGATTAAGGCTGTAACGTAACAAAATGTGGAAAAAGTCAAGGGGTCTGAATACTTTCCGAATGCACTTTATCTCTATTGCCATCAGACTCCACATGAGACAGATTTAACCTCAATGACCTCAGTGAATCAGAGATAATGTGACAGAAAATCCAGGGAGGAGTCTGCTATGGACTAGAATATAATATGCATGAATCTGAACAATAGAGGTGCACAAGTACAATACAATGTGTATTTGGCTCAACAGTAGTGGCGTGCCTCTGACATATGAATATCTTTACAGCTTTTCTTATGTCACATTCAGCAGCACATTACTTAAATATTATATACTAGCTACAGTATGTGGCACGACCAGTCCTCGGGACTCTAACCATTATTTATGTATCATATAGCATACAAATTCAACAAACAGACATACAATGCAACATTTATATAAACATATACTGTATGTCTGTGCATTTTAAAAAGTAATTCGGAATCATCATCATCAGCAGCACTACTGTAAGATAAGCCCTGTGATCCCAACTCAACCCCAAATACACAAATACTTATTTTGTGGTTCTCCAGACCTATGTCAAACATGACATTTTCATATCAAACTACTTTGAAATAATCACCTACACTGGGGCCTTTACATTCATAAACAATTTCAAACTAAGTTGACGCGTCATAGTTTGAGGGTAGACCTCCCTGTTTATTCTCTGTCTAGGGTCGCATTTGGATGAGGTTATCTAATGACATAAACCAACACAATACATTGACCTCCATTCTCTGATTCGCCTCAAAGGAAATGGATAACATCTGAAGAACCGGGTCGCTCAACAGGGGACATGTGACAGTCAGCAACGCTGACAAAACAACAATCAATACTGTATATGATGGTCAACAATAAGTAGAGAACAGAAACTCTCTCCACCACCTCCGCCCAAACCCAGGGGTGAGAACCAGGTGACACTCTATATCTCCTTCTCTCCTATATCTGGGTCTCCTGATCCACTGATAATGCCTCTCAATGAGACAGCAATAAACCCACGTATATTTGGGAAACTCCATTCAAAATCCTCCATAACAATCTATTCAAGAGTAACACGAAACACTGTGTCCACTGGGATTTTTAGGGAAACCAGACACCGGTGTCCTATTAAAAACCTACTATTTTTCACACAACAGCAAAGGTGAGCTGGCTTCTTACATTCACACCCAAGGAAGAAACACTGACATGGCATTGTCTTTCACTTGTCACATGGGAGACTATTGAATGTGTTCTAGGTGCCCTCCGTTAGGAACTCTACCTCAACCTGTGTTTTTGGGGTTGGTGTACATGGAATGGGCGTGGAGCTTTTCTCATCCACCTGCAGAGGGGTGGGGCCTCAGACAGGGAATCAATAGCACGGCAGCACCACCCCCCCTGCATTAAACTCCTACATAGTCTGAGGAGGATTCCCAAGTCTGCTCACCTACTGTAAGAACAAGGAAACGAGACGTGGGCTTCTTACAGCGATACAGTAAGTACCTACAACCTTCCCTCCCTTTATACTCTGACTGTCTGGAGGCTCTCAGATCTGATGAGATAGGAGCTACCCAATGATTATGGAATATACATAAAGCAATACACTACATTTACATTTTACATTTTAGTCATTTAGCAGACGCTCTTATCCAGAGCGACTTACAGAAGCAATTAGGGTTAAGTGCCTTGCTTAAGGGCACATCGACAGATTATTCACCTAGTCGGCTCGGGGATTAGAACCAGCGACCTTTCGGTTACTGGCACAACGCTCTTACACTAATGATGCTGAAGTTCTATATTGTCTATTTGGATGAGAGACAGCTTTGGCTAAGCAAGAAGGCACTGTGTTGATAATATGTTATTTGAAAGGTTTGAGTTTGAGTTTGAGTTTATTTTTACAGGGACAGTGCACATTAATCAACGTTTCAGTAAAAGTGCCGGTTTTAGCCAGCCGGCTAATTTTCAACCGCAGTCCCTGGGCAGGTTATTAAAAACAATTACAATATAGACAATAACAACATAGAACAAGACATAGCATACAGACATAGCAACATAGGACAAGCAAGACGTAGCATACAGACAGAGCAACATAGAACAAAAAGCAGCAAGACAAAATTCATAAAAGCAACAAAGTGTTTCCACACCTCACAAGTTACAGACAACAGACATGGAAAGCGGCAACACACAGCTAGGGACCATGTTCACAAATCTGATTGACCTTTAGCCATGTCTTCAAGCATTTTGTGAAAGTGTGATATGTGGTGCAGTTATGTGTGTCTGATGGCAGTGTATTCCAGACATGGGAAGCTCTCACAGAAAAAGCGGATTTACTAAATGTGCTTTTCCTTAGGGGAACTACACAGTCACCTCTCATGGCAGACCTTGTGGATCTGCTGCCATATGTTTGGGTTTTCTGTTTAACAAAAATACTGAGTGGAGGGGGAGCCAAGCCATTTAGGATCTTGAATACAAGACATGCATCGGTGTATTGCACAAGATTTTCCCAACTCAGGAGCTCATGCTTTCTAAGGATGTGACAGTGATGATGGCTATTGGGCTTCCTATCAAGCACTTTGAGAGCCTGTTTGTAGACAGACTGAATAGGTCTTACTGTTGTACAGCAAGCTTGGGCCCAACTAGCCAAACAGTATGTTAAGTGGGGGAGTATCATAGATTTGAAGTACAGTTTTGCTACCTCTGTAGTCAAACAATTTCGTATAAATCGGAAATTAGCTAGGTTGAATTTGGTTATTTGAATTACCTTTTTCACATGCTTTTTAAAAGAGAGGTTGGAATCAAGTATGATGCCAAGGTACTTAAAATCAGATACCCCCTGGAGCTTCTCCCCTGACACATAGACTTCTGGCTCAGTAGCATCTGTTGCCCTCTTTGTGAAGAACATGCAAACAGTTTTTTTCACATTGAGATGCAAACACGAGTCACTGAGCCACTTTGTAACCTGGACCATTACAGTAGTGAGTTCTTGTGCAGCTTGTTGTTTGCTCTTTGCATGCACATATATCACTGTATCATCTGCATACATTTGAACTTCAGACCCAGTACAGACAGAAGGCAGATCATTAATGTACAGGCTGAACAGGAGGGGCCCCAGTATTGACCCTTGGGGCACACCCACATCATAGCTAAGAGTGGGCGACAGTTCATTGCTCACTCTGACACACTGAGTTCTGCCTTCAAGGTATGATTTCATCCATCTCAAGGCATCGGGGGAAAAGTTGAACTTGGACAATTTTGTGATGAGAATCTCATGGTTAACAGTATCAAAAGCCTTCCTTAGGTCCAGAAACCAATCCGTTTAGAAAAAGAACTGTAGGTGAAAAAAAGTTTTTGAATGGATGTAGGCTGCTTTAGCGAAAGGCTTTATATGCAGAATATCAAATTTGGGTACCGAGATCAACTATTGATTCAACATTTTATTTCAAAGATGGTGGAGTGACCTATGAATGTCAACCATTTTGCAGTTGACTAAACCAGTAAGGTAATGATGGAGGTTGATGTAACTTTAGAGCACCATCTTGAGAAGGCATACTCAAAAAACTAACTAAAACTTCAGAGTTCTGAATGGGTTGAGTAGACTGTGAATGTCAGTCATCATGACCAGTACATTAACTACAAATATATTCTGTTTCATACAGCTGGTTCTTAGCAGAGAGCATAGCCATGCAATGCTTATTAACATTTTAAAAAGTCTCTTTTCATTGTAATTTTAAGGTATGCTGTATCACCAACCGTAACTATCTATGTATTACAGAGAATGAAGTTAGTTGCAGTGTCTGCTCTGTGCCTGTGGGGGGTGCTGTGTCTCTGTGCCAGTGTGAAGGCCATTGGGACTTTAGAGCTGATGCGAGATGCAGCAGGTAACAGAAAACCTCATGACGCCTCAGTTTTTCTCTTTTATTTTGTATGTTCTCCACCCCAAACATATCTTAACAATCAAATGTAATGTCAAACTATTGGTCCTGCTTCGACAAGTTTTGACCCCTACTCTCTGCCTTCCTCTACCTCCCCTCTCACCTTCCTCCCCTATTCTCCCCCGTGTCCCCAGTGGCCTGGACTGGGGTCCTGCCCTGTGGGAAGTGGGACTGTGAGTGTGCCTTCAAGAGCCAGCAGGGCTGCTGCTGTGTGGCCAATGAGATGAGTACGCTTGAGGACCAAACCTTCATGCGCATGGTGGACATGTGGGAGCAGCTCATCCGATTGGACAACGACATAGAGGAAGTCACAGGTACTGGAAAATAAATCTGTTTCCTAGTCAGATTAAGTCAGGAACCATTGTAGAAAGCTTGACAAATCCCTAATGTTCAAGTCCCAGGCTCCTAACTTCTTCTGTTCTCCTTCCCTCTTTCTGTGACTCAGGCAACAATAAGATTGCGTTCACCGCGGCGATGAAATCTAGAAGCGACTGCTTCGGGCCCTTCACCAGCAACGTGCCCATCCGCTACTACACTATCTCTCTCAACCAGGGAAATGGATACAATGATGCTCTGGGTAGGACGCCACACTGCGCTGTCACGTCATTTACCCACATACTTACTGGATAAATAACACAACACAACATAAAACACACATGCACATACACACACTCACCCCCACACCCATTTACACACACTCTCCATCTCCCTGTGTGTGTCCTCTATCCAGGTACCTTCACCGCCCCCCGCGCCGGCCTCTACTCCTTCTCCTTCACGGCCTACTCCAACGTGGGTGTGGACGGCGAGCGTCTCTACCACAAGGTGCAGTTGATAAAGAACAACGAGGTGGTGGCCTCTGTGTGGGAGGACAACCGGGAGGACATGGAGGACAGCAGCACCCAGTCGGTGCTGGTGTCTCTTCGCCAGGGCGACCAGGTGTACGTGGAGCTGCTCTCCGGCAGGAGTCTGTGTGGCAACACCAAGGAGTTCAACAGGTTCAGCGGATACCTGGTCTACCCCTTCACACAGGAGTAGAGGAGAGAGTCATACACACATGAACACACACGTACATGCATGAATACATACACACACACACACAAACACATACATGCATACAAAAAGACATACGGCTATGGCACGCACATGCACACGCACACACACACACACACACACACACACACACATAAACACGCACACATACAGTACCAGTCAAAAGTTTGGACACAGCTACTCATTCCAGGGTTTTTCTTTATTTGTCTATTTTCTACATTGTAGAATAATATTGAAGACATCAATTCTATGAAATAACACATATGGAATCATGAAGTAACCAAAAAAGTGTTAAACAAATCAAAATACATTTTATATTTGAGATTCTTCAAAGTAGCCACCCTTTGCCTTGATGACAGTTTTGTACACTCTTGGCATTCTCTCAACCAGCTTCATAATGAATGCTTTTCCAACAGTCTTGAAGGAGTTCCCACATATGCTGAGCACTTGTTGGCTACTTTTCCTTCACTCTGCGGTCCAACTCATCCCAAACCATCTCAACTCATCCCTAATCAAAATATATTTTGATTTGTTTAACACTTTTTTGCTTACTACATGATTCCATATGTGTTATTTCATAGTTTTGATCTCTTCACTATTATTATACAATGTAGAAAATAGTCAAAATAAGAAAAACCCTTGAATGAGTAGGTGTGTCCAAACTTTGACGGGTACTGTACATACAGACACATACACAAACATACTGTATAACAGATCAACTCACTGGCATACTGAGAATGACAATACGAATTTGATGAAATTATACAATTCTGACACTGTTAACGGAAGCAGATATTCAAACATTGATTGACATCAAAACTCAAATGCAATTCTACGAAGAGCCAGAGCCTCAAATTAATCATGCAATTACAATGTTCCAAGTGTGTGTATCGTGTGTGTGTGTGTGTGTCTGTGCACCATTGTAACCAATTATATTCCATGTACAGTGAATTCAGACAGTCTGCTTGTGAAATAGTATTGCTTTGAACAAAATAAAAGCTGGTTTGTTACATGAAGCAGGACATGTGTCATATTGTGCTGTTTACAGTATTTTAAAAAAATTGTCCTTCACAGGTGTGGTCTTTCCATGGGGTCTAAATTAATTGATGAATCTCTAAATGAATGCTGAGTTAATGAATAATAATGGTACCTACCACCAAATAGGAATATAATTGGATGATAATGAACCGTAGGCTAGCTAACCTACGTGTTATTATCATTGGCTTGTATTTTGTTGTAGTTAGCATTATTATTTTGAATTTAATCAGGGTTCCTACAAGTCGGAATTTATGTAATATCATGGCATGTTTAAATGTGCATTTCAGACTGGAAAAGTAACGTGATTTAATTGTAGGTCTACATACGAATCACCGTTTGGAAACGAAATAAGCCTATCTTGTATTTTCTGTTGTTTTTTCACATTGCATTGCCCAATGTGCTTTTGGTCTTTAAAATTCTTAACTGTAAACACAAGGCAAGGACTTTTTTATGTATGAATGGGAAACCTTTTTAATTTTTAAAAAGCGAGATCAAATTTAGATGAGACGGCATGCGTTCAGCTGCTGAAGGGAATTTTGTCTCCATAACCACGCCCCCACCTCTATTTTGACGACATAGACGCATAACGCTTTCATTGGACAGCAAAATGGTTGTGGCGCGTAAGTCAGATCAGAGCAGGCTTGCTCAGGCAAGGTATCTTTACTTCAAGTTCTGATAAAAACGGTAGGATAATGATTGTAGTCAATAACTTAAGTTTTCAAGTTAAGCATGTAACAAGACACGTGATGTAGGCCTACATTTTAATGAGGTGAATAGGATTGACATGGGGATAGGCGGCAAAGCTCTCGGGAAAAGCGCAGGTCTCGCTCTTAAAAATACTTGTTGTACTCGTCCATCTTGGCCTTCATCTGAATGAGATGAACAGAGAAAGGGAAAATATATTTGCATAGGCTACAATACCAATGAAATTGGTGTCAACTGTGTGAGTGTGCTATAGTTCGACACATGTCAATTCATTGGTGGACAGCGCCATGGTGCTGCTGAATTGGTTTGAGGCCCTTTGAGATTGGCAGTAGCCTACTTGAGTAAAGAATATGGCGTTATCTGCCTAACCTCGTCCCCCAGAGACAAGCCTATGTTTTTAGTAGTTTATCTCTGATATTAGGGAATTATATTTGTTTACCGCTAGCCAAATTAGCAGTTTATCTTAGTTAATGTCCTATAGGACTTGGTATCATAATTTATAATTGACTAAACACTTAACTATTTATTATTTTGTTAAGATTAAAGTCTTGAAATTGAAATTAATTGAGGAAGACCCATAAAACCATAGAAATAGAATGATAGAAATATAATCATTCTAATTCTATGCATAGAACTCACTCTCTGCTCAGATCAAAGCAAGTGGCCTATGTTATGACGCTTCATAGTTGCCATGGTAGTAGCATTGTCATGCATAGTACACTGAGGAAAGCAGAGAAGTTGTGAATTCTGAATTCAACCCTCACTGGGCAAGCTAATATTCAGCTGACTTTTTAGTCTCTCTGGTGGATTATTACAGAGCTTCATTGGAACAACTTGAATCAATTATGTTCTTGCAATTTCAACACCATTGGAAAGTTTGAGCCTGTGATCTTCACCATTGGTACAGGTAAGAGTGAGGGTGAGTATGATTGTTATGTTGTTGCCTCTCCCGTTTCTCTGGAGGAGTTTTACAAATGTGTTTTGGATTCCACCACAGTGATTACAAACAGCAAATCATGTAAAGTAGGCTACATAACAATAACTTGATTGGAAGGCCTGTTACAATCCCCACCAAAAGGGTTTAACTGTCATTGGAGCAGTGGTTTGCAGGTCTGTCTACATACTGAGATAACCGGGTTTGAGATCCACAAGGGGAGTTGCACTATGGGTGTTTACTAAATAATAACTAATACAAAAGGAGTTTTGAATTCTGTTGTTCTTTACAAAGAAAAATGAAAAACAGAAGTTTAGAATCACAGGATATATCGCTATCAAATTCAGGTAAGTATGTGAGGCGATTACATATACATAAATCATACATGATAAAGTAGGCTACATAACAATACACACATTAATCATAGTATCTCAAAACAATTTAGGCTGGGATTCAATCCGATCACGCTTTGCAGACAATGCTGCTTTTAAAGGCAAAGTTCCCGTGTTCAGGTTCATTGCGTTCACAGTAAACGCTGCAGATGTCGGCTCAATCGGAAATTACCTGTAGCCCTGTCTTGCAGTCAAATTACCTAGTGGCCTCATGGGTGGAATGTTATTCATATTGTTCATAATTAAAAAACTACTTTTTTTTACACTGAAAATCTATGTCAAAGGGTTTTGTCATATTTCAGTCTTCTGTGATGTATATAAAGTGTAATATTGGGATGCAAACTCAAAATGGAATACATTTCAACTCTATACCTGACATGGTACAGGTGTCTTCTTTTTAAGCCCATAACCATGTGTGTGAGGTGTATACTTTTGTTTCAAAGTAGATTTGTTTAAGACTACCAAGAAACACTCTGTGTGACCCTGATTTAGCCCACTGCAGTAAAAGGTTAAATGGCCAGTGGCAATTTTAGCATGTAAATCTTGGTGGGGCAAACTCCCCACAAATGTGTTTAAGATGCATGCTAGCAAAGCCACTACATAACACAACACTAAACAATACATTAATTGGACTATAATGGTGACAAACGGTGCCCACAAACTTTTAGAGCCTACATAAAGCTGTCCCAACAGCTTACCACTGCATATCAGCAGAGCGTTGTCTGGCAGCGAAACACTTCATTGAGCCTCATTTACTGCCTTTAAAAAAAAACATAGCTGATATGGCTGACTTGCTTAAACAAATGTGGTTTCTAATAACAATTGAGATGTACAAACTATGGTATAAGGGGACGACGAGCGGATAAGGCAGGGCAGGCGAAGGGGCAGGTTTCGGGTCGAGAGCCAGACCCGGGCCTCACTGCGGTGGCGGTCGGCGCTCGCCTTCTGTCGCCTGATGGCCCGTTGCAGGCAAACATGGGCAGCGTCCCAGATCTCCTCCGAGCGCCGAAACCATTCATCCACCGCAGGTGCCTCGATCTGGCTCTGATGCCATGGTGCCAGGACCGGCTGATAACCTAGTACACACTGAAACGGAGACATGTTAGTGGAGGAGTGGCAGGAGGGAGTTTTGGGCCATCTCTGCCCAGGGGATGAAAGCCGCCCACTCCCCCGGCCGGTCCTGGCAATAGGACCGCAGAAACCTACCCACACCCTGGTTAACTCTCTCCACCTACCCATTACTCTCAGGGTGAAAACCTGAGGTCAGGCTGACCGAGACCCTCAGACGTTCCATGAACGCCCTCCAGACCCTCGATGTGAACTGGGGACCCCGATCAGACACTATATCCTCAGGCACCCCGTAGTGCCGGAAGACGTGGGTAAACAGAGCCTCCGCAGTCTGTAGGGCCATAGGGAGACCGGGCAAAGGAAGGAGACGGCAGGACTTAGAAAACCGATCCACAACTACCAGGATCGTGGTGTTACCTTGTGACGGAGGAAGATCCGTCACGAAGTCCACCGATAGGTGTGACCACGGCCGTTGTGGAACGTACAGACGCCCCACTGGACACTGGGTGGGAGTGGGCTCCGTACGTAACGCCCGCTCGATGTCCGCGTCAACCTCTCATACCACCGGTGCCACCAGGCAAGAAGCCGGAAGTATGGGAGTGGGATCCATGGACCGCTCCTCTGAGTCATACATCTGGGACAGAGTGTCTGCCTTAGCATTCTGGGAACCTGGTCTGTAGGATAGGGTGAAAACAAAACGGGTAAAGAACATGGCCCACCTTGCCTGGCGAGGGTTCAGTCTCCTTGCCGCCCGGATGTACTCCAGATTGCGGTGGTCAGTCCAAATGAGGAAAGGGTGTTTAGCCCCCTCAAGCCAATGCCTCCACGCCTTCAGAGCCCTGACAACAGCTAACAGCTCCCGGTCCCCCACATCATAGTTTCGTTCCACCAGGCTGAGCTTCTTCGAAAAGACAGCACAGGGGCAGAGCTCCATCTCCATCTCCACCCCTGACGCGGACAGGCGGTACCCTAGGAAGGAGACGGACTGTTGGAAGAACAGACATTTCTCAGCCTTGACGTACAGGTCATGCTCCAACAGTTGACCAAGCACCTTGCGCACCAGGGACACATGCTCTGCGCGTGTAGCGGACTATATTAGAATGTCATCTATATACACCACTACACCCTGTCCGTGCAGGTCCCTGAAAATCTCGTCTAGGATTGGAAGACTGATGGAGCATTCATCAACCCATACGGCATGACGAGGTACTCATAGTGCCCAGAGGTGGTACTAAATGCTGTCTTCCACTCATCCCCCTCCCGGATACGTCCCAGGTTGTAAGTGCTCCTGAGATCCAATTTGGTGAAGAAGCGTGCCCCGTGCAATGACTCTGTCACACTGGCTATGAGAGGCAGTGGGTAACTGATTTAGACCTCGATAGTCAATGCACGGGCGTAAACCTCCATCCTTCTTCTTCACAAAAAAGAAACTCGAGGAGGCAGGTGTAGTGGAAGGCCGAATGTATCCCTGTCCCAGAGATTCGGAGACATATGTTTCCATAGCCGCCGTCTCCTCCTGGACAGAGGATACACGTGACTCCTGGGAATTGCTGCGCCTACCTGGAGATTTATTGCACAATCCCCCTGTCGATGGGCTGGTAGTTGAGTCGCCTTCTTTTTACAGAAGGCGAGAGCCAAATCGGCATATTCGGGGGGAATGTGCATATTGGAGACCTGGTTTGGACTCTCCACCGTAGTTGCACCTATGGAAACACCTACACA